GAGGACGAACATAAGATGAGGAGGATGAGATGAGGAGGATGAGATGAGGAGGACGAGATGAGGACGAGGACGAACATACAGTATGCCTGTACAAAACAGGTCGTCTCATGCGCCCACAATTGTATCTGAGCGTTCTTCTGGCTGAGATATTGTGGGGATATTTTCAATGGATTCGAGACATCGAACATCTAAAATAACACTTCTTATGGGAAACATGTCGAAGGAGTTGGCCATGCATTCAGCTTCTCTTCAGCAACCCCAGATATCTGTCAGGTCTGATCTTCGGGGCTGGATAATGAAGGGTATACATTGATTGACCAGAAACACTGCCTGACCAGTTGTCGGTAGGAAGTGGATCAATCGATCTCTATGAATGATGATCGATGATCGATCACCATCTTAGACATCAATATATGACTTTTGTTCATCTCATCTCATTTCCCTCCTCTCCCTCCTCTCCTCTCTTCATGCTCAGTCCTTCCCTCCTCCTCTCCTCTTCTTCGCCTCCTCAGCAATCCACGCGGCGGCTTCATCTTTATATTTCTCATCCCAACGACTCAACGCACTCCTCCCCTCCGTAATATCCCCAATAGCCCAAGCCATGCGCGCCTGATCCAGGGCCTCATCAACATCCGCATCGGGACAAATGATATAAAACACCCCCTTTTCGATCTTCTCCACCCCATACTCCGCAACCTGACTCGGCAACCACGCGCCACGAGGTTTCTTGCTCAAAGCCTCTTCGTCCGACACGGGCCCGCGATTCCCACTGAGCCCCGTGAACGTCCACCCAGGCACCAGCAGATGCACCGAGACCTGCGGCGACGCCGTGCGCAGATCATGCGCCAGTTGCTCCGCGACAGACTTGACCGCGGCCTTGCTGGCGTTGTAGGCCGGGTTTCCCGGCGGATTGGTGATGCCCTGTTTACTGCCGGTCAGCACGACGGCCGACGGACCGGGCGATTTCTGCACCATGGCCAGAAACGTCGTGAGGCCGTGCACGACGCCGAAGAAGTTCGTGGCTAGGGTTTTGTGGAAATACATCGCGTCGGCCCAGGGTGTGGGAGTGCTTGGTTTCACGCTCGTCCCCGCGTTCAGCATTAGGAAGTCGATCGTGGAGAATTTGCTGGATAGGTCCGCTTGCACTTTGCTCCATGCTGACAGGTCCGACACGTCGAGTTCGTAGGTTAGCGTTTGAGGTGGGTTGTTGGTTGTTGATGTTGTCGTTGCAGGCTTGACGGATTGCAGGGTCGCTTTGGCTTGCTCGAGAAGAGCGCCGTTGTTGTCGAGGAGCGCGAGGTGCATCCCTTGCAGGCGGCAGTGTTGGGCGAATGCGAAGCCGACGCCTGATGCGGAGCCCGTGATCAGGGCGAGAGCGCCGGGGCGGAAGACGGATGCCATTGTCGTCAAGTGGAGGAGTTTATTGATGGGTATTGATGTACTGGAGACTCTCGTCTCGATGTCCGAGTGAAGAGAGGATCGGGCAGTTATGCAGGGTTTTGTGTGAGGTGAGAGATGAGGATGGCCTTCAACTTACGATGATGGGATCCTTATGATGAGACTCGTGAACAGTGAGTAAGAAGAGAGGTGACATTTATAATATACATCCACAGCATCTGCTGCTCCAGGTCTCCGTCGTCGAGAGCCGGCCAATGACGTTGAGGCTCTCGGATTTAACGGCGGACATCACTCCGCGTGGAATTTCAGTTGCCGGTATACAGAGTCAAAGAGTACATGCAGGACAATAGCAGATCTCGTAATAATGATTTGATGCCCTAGACGCTACCCTGAGGACACCATGGGCTAGGTCAAGGCTCTTGGTGCATATCGAAGCAAGCTTTTGGTCAATTCTCCCCAGCCGTCACCTCCTACCGGCTATCGGATCAACCTCCGAGCAAGGCTATGGCAGCAAGTCAACAAGGCAAGACTTCTGTACAATGCCCGACTCCGTCGCTGCAACAGCTCTGCAGTGTATCTGATGAGAGGAACCACATTCATGCAGTCGCAACCGCTTCGTTCTCCTTATCCTCAATCTTAGCTTCTTCCAGTTCTTTAGTCACGTCGGCGACAGCATCCTTTTCCTGAGCCTGTTCGGCCTCGGCAGGAACGGTCCCGTTAGCGCCGGAGTCCTTCAGAGCGACTTTCTTCGCGCGGTCGGTGCGGCCGCCTCGTGGGCCGCTCTTGGGAGGAGGGGAAGCAGTAGACGCTTCGGCAGCTTCCTGCTCTAGCTTCTCGATTTCCTTCTTGGCCTTTTCAATGTTCTGTCGAGGGATTGTTAGTAGAGTCTAACATTAACTCGACGTGCGCTTACCTTTTGAGTCTGGCTGTCCTGTTCCTTCTTCCACGTGTCCACTTTGGCCTTCAACTTGTCCACCACGCCGGAGACATCGGCTTGAGTGCTGGGCGGGTCCACACCGACTTTGGCCAGCTGGTCAATGATGCCAATGTTCATGTTGAGTTTGCCAGACTCAGCACTGGCGGCGGGAGATTTCTTGCCCTTGCCCTTCTTCTTGCCTCCGCTGCCGACAAAGAAATCCTCATCCTCCTTCTTCACAACCTTCATGCCCTTGAAGCCGGATTCGTCGACGGTGCGTTGCGTGGTGGCGGCGAATTGGCTCGGGCCCTTCTCATGGTCTCCAGCATTGTACGACGGGTCGAAGTGGCGGATCAGACCTTCGGCAATCCGGATCTCCTCCAGGAAAGCAGGCTCACCGGCTTCCTCGAGTTTCTGCTCCGCAATCCGGCGACGCTTCTCCTTCTCGTAAGCGTCACGTTCGGCCTTTTGACGCTCACGACGCTGCTGGTAGATTTGATCTTCATACTCCTTGTAAGCCTTCCTTTGCGCGTAGTAGTCGTCCTTGAGCTTCTTGATGGCGGCATACGTGGCCTGTTGCTCCTGGTACAGCTTCTCTCGCTCCGCCTTCAGCACGTCCAAGTTCTTGTTCGTGTCTTCGCGGGCAGCCTTGATCTGGTCGAGTTCCTTCTGGTTCTCTTCGTACTTTTGAGCCAACGCGCGGGCCTCGGGGCTGTCGAAGGATTTTCGGAGCTCGGCGTTTTCGGCCTTCTTCTCGTCGATCTTCTTCTGTAGGTCGTCCAGAGCAGTGAACCCCTTCTTCTGGCGGCGCAGAGACGACACCTCGGCCAGGGCCTTCTTCTCGTCAACCAGCTTCATGTTCCCGGAGTCCACTTGTTTCATGATACTGTCGATCTTGGCATCGATTTCCTCGACGTTCTTGAATCCAGCTCGCGTGCGGGCATCTTTTTGCTCGGCAATGAGTTTCTTGATCAAGGCGTCGTTTTGGTTGTACTTGTCCTGTTGTCCTGCTTTGGCCGCTTTGTTTTCTTGCTGCTTCTGACGGATGGCCTTCTGATCGTCCACAAGCTCTTTGAAGCGGTCGTTGGCAGGCGTGGACTTTCCAGGCCGAGCACTGTCGAGCTTGGTGCGGCTGGCATTCTGAGACAACAGTCAGTCACACGACAGAGACCTGCGCCAATGGAGGATAGAGACATACGAATTTGGCCTGCGCAGCTTCATGTTCCTTTTCGGCCTGCGCGAGTGCGGCCTTGTATTTGGCTTCGTCAGGCTTCTCTGGTCGGCCCTTCTGCGTGCCTTCGGCGGCGGGGGAGTTTTCGACGTCGGCCATGGTGTGAGAGCAAAGGTGCTGGTTGTCAAAGACCAAAGTAGAGGTACCGGTAGGACAAGTCGAGGTAGTGATACAGGAGAGTATTTATACTGCTTTTAGTCCATGCTAGGATCGTATACCAGAGAAATGACGAGTGACAGCAAATGTATAGCAATAGCAAAGAGCCCGACCGTGACAGAGGAGAGCCAGGGATTCGATGTAGCGAGGGTCAGTCTCTCGAGGACTAGCGAGGTAGGTCCTCGTAGATAGGTACCTAGGTATTTATTAATTGTCACCGCGAGCGGGTTCGACTTGGTGTCGGTGTGTGGAGAAAACCAAGTGAATTAAGTCCCTTGATTCACTATTAGGTAGTTCTCGTGTTCGTCTAAACAAAGATGCGCAGCCAGTCGCAGCCATTCTAGTATTTTTCGAGGCGCGATCCCCGCCAAGCCCTGAAACTTTTGCCTGCGCCGTGCAGTGAGGACCTTCAAGTTGTCGCCCGTTCCCCTTCTATTCAGGAAAGTTAAAGAGTGTCCTACCCCTCTCACACATATTACTTGAATCACACACGGCGGTGCCAGGATGGACTTCGACGATCGACCAAAGTTGTCCGTGGAAGCGGAGAAGGAAGTGACGCGGCTATGGAGGACATGGCGGACTGTCCTCGAGATGCTGGTGGACAGAGTATGCGAGTTGACCCAACAGCCCCGGGCTGGCCAGACTGGAGTTTGATGCTGACTTGTTCGGCCAGGGATATGCGATTGCACAGAATGAACTCACCATCACCCGCGACGACTTTCAGAGAAAATTTGGAGACCCGTCGACCGGACATGCCGAGTGAGTTGGGATCACAGGAAAACATACCGGCCAGGACGACTGCTGACCGTGACCACCCACAGGCGGAGACTCATGAAACTCCAAGCTGTTCCTACCGAAGACATGATCAAGCGCGACACCCCCAGACCGACCAAAAGCAACCCGAACCCCCAGACCACTGCTGGCACCATCTGGGTCGAGTTTAGCCCAGAAACCACCATCGGAATCAAACACCTGCGAGCATTCGCGCAACATCTCGACGCCAACAAGTTCACCACCGGCATCTTCATCACCATCGGTCCGGTCACGGCCGCGGCCCTTCGCGCCTTCGAACCTCTGACCGAGCGAGGAATCACCGCCGAATGGTTCCAGGAGCAAGATTTGCTGGTCAACATCACCAGGCACGAATTGGTCCCGAAGCACGTGCTTCTCAGTGCCGAAGAGAAGAAGGTCTTGCTTGACAGGTACCGGTTGAAAGAGACGCAGCTGCCGCGAATCCAGTTCAACGATCCGGTCGCCAAATACCTGGGACTGAAACGAGGCAACGTCGTCAAAATCATTCGGAAGAGTGAGACGGCCGGTCGATACGCCAGTTATCGGTGGGTGTTTTAAAGCCAGTGCATATGATTCTCAGCGAGGAGTTTCGGGTCAAAAGCTTTGCACTGCATTGCGTCGGTCGGGTTTGGATTTGTTTAACTAGAAGACTGTAAACCAGACGGGAGGGTGGACGATGTGCTATGAACCAGTCGCAACAGCCGTCAGATGGATGCGATACGAAGATCTGGCACTCGAGAGACACTTAAGCTCTATGCAAAGCCAGGTCGGATCGACTTCCAGCAGGCAGCGGTACTGTTTGTTGTATATCACTTCCATTGTCCATCCTACATTATTATGTCTACATGTCCTCATCGGGGCTATCTACCTGCCAACCATTACGTCCCAGGTTACCATGTCGTGCAAAATCGTACAGCCTCATCAAACATCAAACCGTTGCGATGGTGAGAGTTGGTACTCGACGGATTTGGAGGGCGAGTGAGGCACTTCATGCAGCTCGAAGAGAGTCTCGGGGCTTTTGCTATCGTGGCTCGAGAGAGGGTTTGGCAAGCTATCGGCACGCTCGTACAGAGCACGCTCCTCGGTGCTCTGCGTGCGAGGGAGGGTGGAGATCAGCGCCGACGACGACCTGTGTGATTTGGATCTGATCCCGCTGTAGGACGTTTTAGCTCGCTTGACGGCGGCGATGGACTTCTGCTTGATGGCGCCTGCACAGGCTGCGCAGATGCCGATGTGGTTTTCAACCCCGGCCCAGAGAAGAACCAATGCGCAGTTTTCTAGTTTGAGGACATATCAATCAGTCTTCCGCAGTGTGAGACCCGCTCGTCAGGGAGCGGTGGGAGATGGGATTTACCTGAGACATCGCTGCCTTTGTTCAGGTGGACCAGGGCGACAAGGCGCATGATGCTTGCCACGACGACACTAAGATCGGAGCACCGTCAGTATGAGCAGATAACAGTCGATAGGCCACAGTCATCGATACTTACAGTCCACCGACGGCGAATAGAGCATATACCCCCCATCGATGAGGCCGCACCATGTCAACGTTGCGAAGAAGTACCATCGGTATGAGATACATGATCACATCGTTCACAATCATGATGATCGCGTTTGCGTAGAGGAAAGCAGCCAGGTTGATGCACTTTGCCGGGACTTCGTCCGCAGGGGTCACGCCGGCGTGCCAGACGTGGCTAAGAGGGATACACTGCGCCAATATCACGATAACAGAGCTGATCCCGAAACCGGCGGCGACGAACTGCATGAAGTGGATAAAGTAGGTCTGCCACCGAGTCCGCGCGAGGCCGTAATAGAACGTCAGCCAAGCGTGCTTGACGAACATGTTGCACAGGAAGTAAGGTGGAAAGACGGCGACGAGAAGCTGAATTGCTGTCAGCATATCCGCCCAACGCAGATGAGATGCTTCAAGTACCTTCTGGAGCGATTCTCTTCCAGCGAATTCGGCCGGAGAAATGGAAGACCCAAGGCCTTTCGCCGCCGCTGAAATTGGTCAGTCATCGTGGAACGTAAGAATCAAAGCCATCTCCTTACCGGCACACACGATGCTTGTCATGACCAAGGCAAAGAACTGGATATAGAAGTCAGTGATACTGGTGACAAGTGGAGGAGGTCGCGACGCACAGCACTGATGACGAGAAACCCTAAGTATGAAGTCAGCTGTATGCAGCCTTGTGGGAGGTCACCACTCAAGCACTCACATTTACTTGCGTTTAACCGGCCAGCGGTGTTGTACTGCCTCTCAAGCTGAACCGAGACAGACACGATGGTCCCGACGGCCAGCACAAGGCTGGTAGCCACCAAAACACAGTCCTTTGACTCCAACATACCTGTGCTTGTAGATCCTCGTGCACAGATGATTTGTGAAAGATGGAGTTCTGCCACCTTCAGAGGTGTCATCTCTGGCGATATAAGTGGCAATGCCGACAGCACTGAGATCCTGAACCATTGTGTCCCACGTTGGTGGAGGTTCGGATGGAGGGAGCCACTTCGGATGCATCATTCAATATTCCACCAGAAGCGTTGGACGAACGACTAGTCAGCTGCAGAGCGAACAGCCCAGGGCCAATATCGCCCAATGGCTAGAAAACGCAGAATGGGATGGCAGGTGTTGGGCAAGGATTCGAACAAGGTAGGGGAAGTTCATAAATACTCCCCCGCTGTCAACTAAAATGGTAAAAGGGTGGAGAGTGGGAGGCCGGAGCTGTCAACCAGGAACAAGGCGTTTTTCCGTGCAAGGGAGCCATCTTGAAGTCTACCATTTGGCGAGAATGGCCGGAGTGTGGAAGCAAGCAGCTGGGGTGAGCGTCTGGGTTGAAATCACACCTCACACCTCATCTTTACCTTTGACTTCCCCTATATCATCGGGTGTGCAGAACTGTTGGAACAGATCGATGTCCTAGTATAGATCTGGGGCCGCGTGCCGAAGCGCCTGGCGGATCGCTCATCGCGGCGAAGCTAACGGTGCCGAGCCAAAGTCCCGTAGATATAGCATTCTGGCGATGGAAGAAGAAGTGAGGTCAAGACGGGCGGGCGAGACATCAACGGCGGCCGACCTCTCCGGTGTGCCCGCTGTCATCGGCGGAGCTCCCGGTCTGGCCTCACATTAGGCCTGTGATCCCTGCCAAGAGAGTCACTCCAGGAGAACTAGACCTGCACACAGCAGGAAGGGATAAACGAGATCTGCCTGTGCAACCGATCTTGCATCGTTAGTGGCTAGAGAACCTTATTCGGGTCCCCGATCGCGAGGGTCGAGTTCGCCGAAAGGGACCTTTCCGATTCGATGTTCAAGGTTCGGGGTGACGCAAGCTGGCATCGTTCTGTAAGCGGCGAAAGAGGTCGGACGTTCTCAGTTTGAGGAACGGTGTTCTCGTATCCTAGTCGAATTGACCCTTCGACTGTGGCTAGTCCGTACCGTCCGTCTCGGGGTATAGGTATCAGGTGGTTAGCGCAGATAATGCAGCAAGGGGTTCTTTGCTGTTGGGTTTGGGGTCCGCCGTAGGGTGGTTTGGCCGATCAACCAGATGGAACATCTCCAAAGTCTTAGATTGACCGGCGAGGACGTGGTCGAGACTGGCAGCTTCGATAGTCCTCCCTCAGCTTTGGTTGTGCTCTCTGTGCGAGGTCAACACTGTAGTGAGTGGCATAAAGCAGCATGGCATAATTACCGTTATGGGCGGAGATATCCGCTGCTTTACACCTGCCAAGGGAACTTCCAACTTGAACTCCGCATCGATCTGAAATCTGAAATTTCCCCACGCCGTTCGAATGCAAGCGACCCGACGCTTGTTTACTGGATCCTGCGCTCTACAAGAATGGGCAAACGGGGCGGTAAAAGAGTAGGTATGTCTTTCTCGTTGGTCAACTATCAGATCTGACAATATCCCCAGAATGGCCGTGGTCGTGGCGGCGGCGGCGGAGGCCCTCGACCCCGACAAGACAACAGAACGAATAAAGAGGAAATAAGTCGATACAATGACAAGTTTGAAGAGTACTACAATCAGCTTGGAATCATACCGGACGCGGAGAAATCTCAGTTCTGGGAGGCTATGAGGAGAGACCTGCCCAACAGTTTCAGGTTCACCGGTTCAAGAGCGTAAGTCTTATACACGATAACTCTGGCGGAACTCTAGCCTGACCTTTTACCAGACATGCACTGGCTGTTCAGCAACGGCTGCGCGACTACTATATCCCGGAGATAACAGGCATCACATATGAGGGTCAATACGTCGAGGCCCCACGACCGGTCGAATGGTACCCGGACCAACTCGCCTGGTATATGACGACGCCCAAGAACGTCATCCGCCGATTCAAGCCGTTCGCAAACTTCCAGAAGTTCCTGGTCGCGGAAACGGAGGTGGGAAACATCACTCGACAAGAGGTGGTCAGCATGATTCCACCCTTGCTCATGGACCTAAAACCCGGCATGACGGTTCTGGATCTGTGCGCTGCGCCTGGCAGTAAATCCGCACAATTGATCGAGATGATCCATTCCGGAGAGGAGGACCGGTGCAGACAGGTTGCGTCGAACATCGCCAACGGTCTCGATAGACCTGAAGGAGAAGACTTTGAAGACGACGGTCGTGCCACGGGGCTGCTCGTTGCCAACGACGTCGACTACAGACGGGCGCACATGCTGGTCCACCAGATGAAAAGACTCAGCTCCCCAAACATCATTGTTACGAATCACGACGCTACGGTTTTCCCATCTATCAAAGTCTCTTCGCCCCCAACAGCCCAAGGAAAGCCTGTCCAGAATAGATATCTGAAATTCGACCGTATCCTGGCGGATGTCCCTTGCTCCGGAGACGGCACAGTGAGGAAGAACATGGAGATATGGAAGAAGTGGTCGCCTAGCAATGGACTCGGGCTACATGCCACGCAAGTCCGGATCCTGATCCGTGCCCTACAGATGCTCAAAGTGGGTGGACGAGTGGTCTACTCGACCTGCAGCATGAACCCGGTTGAAGACGAAGCAGTGCTTGCTGAAGCCATCAATCGCTGTGGAGGTCCCGATCTAGTTCGACTACTCGAGACGAAGAATTACTTGCCCGGCCTCAAACGTTGCCCAGGGCTGAAAGAATGGACTGTCATGGACAAAGCCGGGCGGATCTGGAAAGACTACGATTCTGTGCTGAAGCAGAAGGAAAGTGCGGGCGAAGAGGGATTGGGCCGATTGTCGGAGAGCATGTTCCCTCCAAAGAACGACCTGCCTCTCGACCGGGCCATGCGCGTCTACCCCCATCAACAAGATACCGGTGCATTCTTCATCGCGATCCTCGAGAAACAGTCCGAGATCAGAGCGAAACCTGAGGAGAAGCCGGCTGTCATGTCGCAAACCACAAAGGTGCTAGCCGCAGACTCCAACGGACTGAAGGTGGAGCTAGAAACCGCCCCGGATGGAGTGGTAGAAAAGGTCAATGGCAGCACAGCAGCGGACAGCGAAACACCATTCAAGAGGAAGCGCTCCGTTGACGAAGAAGAGGTTGCGCCGGTAAAGCGAGTGAAGAGCGAGGACCATCTTGCTCCCGAAGCAGACACGGGCAGTGAGCAAATACCAACGACCAACGACTCCGCCGCCGAGCCACTCACGACAGCCCCGTCAAACGCTCAACCGCCACCACCAAAGAAGAAGAATCGTGATCAGCCATTTGAGGAAGCCTTCAAGTATCTGTCCCCTTCGATCCCCGAACTCGCCCAAATCAAAGAATTCTACAATCTCTCCCCACGATTCCCGTCGGACCGATACATGGTCCGCAACGCCCAAGGCACAGCCACGAAGAACATATACTACACGAACGCACTCGCCAAAGAGATCCTGCAGGAAAACGAAGGCAAAGGACTCAAGTTCGTCCACGCCGGTGTGAAGATGTATGTCAAGCAAGACGCCCCTGCGCCGGATGTGTGCCCTTGGCGGATCCAGACGGACGGGCTGAGGCTCCTCGAGGCCTGGGTCGGTCCGGAACGGATTGTCAAGCTGCACAAGAAGGAGACGCTGCGAAAGCTGTTGATCGAGATGTTCCCCAAGTTCCATGGCGAGGAGTACAAGAATCTGGGCGAGGTCGGCGAGCAGATCCTGCCCCTGGAAATGGGCTGCTGCGTTTTGATCGTCGACCCAAGTGAGGCCGAGGATGGCCTCAGCGAGAGAATGGTCTTTCCGCTCTGGAAATCGGTCCAGAGTCTGAATTTGATGCTGCCCAAGGAAGAGCGAAGGGCCATGTTATTGAGGTTGTTCAACGACGATACGCCGCTGGTCAACCCGAGTAAAGGCTGGATCGCCGCCGGGAAGAAAGGTGATGCAGCAGCGGCAAAAGAGAAGGACGCGCAGAAGCCGGGAGAGTCCGACGCGATGGACGTCGATGCCACGTCGGTTCAGGAAACCCCGCGGGAGCCGGCGATACCTGTCCGCAACAGCAGCTCTCCTGAACCCGTGGCTGATGACACTGTCAATGACGAGGGCGAAGATGCTACGGCGGTCCCTGAGACTGGGATCTCGGAGGACGAAGAAGACGGTGGCGTTCAGATCTCATAATCAACTCTAGCTGAGAACCAGATCTCTTGTCTTCTACTGCCACGACCGGTGACGAATCTGACCAATTTTGTATTGTGTTGATCAAAACGATCGATTTAGAACCAGTCCCCATCTATCTTCCATGTTCCACATAATGTCAACGTCTACTGCAACTTCCTCCTTGTAACCAATTCATACGATCCTCTTTCGGTTAGGCCGTGAAAGTTGTCATGCATATCTGATAATCTGATCGAACGAAACAATGAGGACGTTCTAGAATGAAAGTGTCCCGCCAGATGAGACCCGTCACTTCATAAGGAAAGCCATGAAAAGGACCTCCTCACGCGCATGACTGTTCCAACTCGAATCTCTCTACCGCAGAAGCAGCCCGAGGTCCAGCCGTGTTGGCAGTCATGTTATTGTTAGACAAGAACTGCCGAAACGAAGGTTTGGAATGTAGGTGCCGGCCGTGGCCATGGCCATCATCAGCAGAATCAGCAGAATCAGCGTCAGTATGAGCATGCTCATAAATCTGATTCATGACACGTAGAGGCCCATCGGTCCGCCAGTCCATAGCCAGACCACCGTCCTTACCGTCGTCCTCGACCTCGACCTCGTACTCGCGAGCCTGCTCCTACTGCCGCGACGACACAGCGAGCGCTCTTTCACGATCACGCATCACGCGCTCAATCAGTGACTGCAGACTGGCATCTCTGTCTCTGTATCTGTCTGTTTCTCCGTCTGTTTGTCTGTCTATTTGCCGGTCTCTGTCTGTTTCTCTTTCTCCTTCGACACCCTTTCCCGACAACGAGACGACAATATCATACAACTCCCTCCGACCACTCCACAGCGCCATCTCTGCGGGCGTGGCGCCATTGAAATCGCGCACCGAGGCATCAGCCCCGGCATCGACCAGGACACGCAGCGCCTCAGGCCGCTCTCTCCACACAGCAGCATGCATTGCCGTGCCGCCGAACCGGCCGGCCCGTTCATTCAAGTCCACACTAGGGTCGGCGACCAGGCTGCGCACCGTTTCCGCCAGCCCGTACGACGCAGCATAGTACAGAGGGCGGGCTCGGTCGAGGTCGGCGCCGGGAGGGACGTAGCCGTGGTTGGAATCGTAGAGGACGAGTTGTAGCCAGAACAGAAAACCGGGACTTGCAGTCATCAGTCTGCGGATCAGGGGCAATAGTTGGCTTTCGGCGCCTGACATGTGTACGTGGAACGGCCATTTGTGCGCCCCGTAGCGCAGGAGCGGGTAGTGCGATAGCGTCCAGCGGAAGTCGGCTTCGTGGAGAGGGCCGGCGGAAAATTCGGGTAGGAGGAGATACGAGAGACATGTTTGGGCGATCGTGCGGTGCGAGGTGGTTGGCGGGATGTGGAATTCTGATGATAACGACAAGTTCGTGGACGCGGTTGCTGACGCTGAAGCGTGGACTCGCTCAGTGAGATATTCGCGTACCGAGTGGTGAGCGATACGGGCCGTTTTGGCCGCCGTGCTGAAGGTGATCAGGCTGCCGCAGATCTCGAGGATGTCGTTGGGGTCATTGAGCTGCGCGTCGGGATCCAGGTCGTCGAACTCGGGGTCGAGAACAATGGCTTCTGCCAGTTCGGTCGGGGTGAGTGGGTGAGAGGCGTATGCTAGCCATAGCATCGTTCGTCGGGCGAAGATGATGTCTTCTCGGTTGATTTTTTGGAGGATGCGCAGATACGAGCCTTCAAGGCTGGACGGGAGCTTGTGGAGAGCCCGTTTGACGGCCGCGTCGGTCCGGAGGTGGGAAATCTCGTCTAGTTGGCATTGGACCCAGCGGAACCTGTACAGTAAGTAAGTAAGTAAGCAAGTCAGTCAGTCAGTCAGTAAGGTAGTAAGTAAGTCAGTCAGTAAGTAAGTAGGGTAGTAGGTGACAAGTCAGCAACAGGAGCCTTGCATCGTGGATGGATGTATGTATGCCAATCATTGGCATGTTTAGATGGGAGTTTCAACTTACATGCCATGAGAGCCCAGTCGCAACGTTTGTTCGACATAGTCCTTCATCTTCTCGCTCATGCGTCGCAGTCTAGGGTCGGTGTGGATCCTGGTTTTGATGTAGACGCTTATATCTTCTTCCACGGCATATTCTGGCACGGGGATGTGTTGAAAAGACCGGAGACGGCGCTGCAGATCGACTTCGGGCCGGCTGCTGATGAAGACGCGGAGGGGAGATTGGCCGGCTGCGACGGTCGATGTGAGGAAATCGCACACGGGCGGATAGTCGGGCGATTCATCCAATCCGTCGATCAGTATAACGGCCGCGCGTGAGCCGTCCAGAACAATCTGCAGAAGACGTTTTAGATCGCTCGGGCTGGGTTGCTTCGGAGTTCCCAGTCGACTTGCTGCTCGCTGGTATGCGTCGACAATGCCATCCGGGATCTGGGCCAGCTGGGCGCAGAACTGCTTGAGGATGGCGCCGAAGAAAGTCTCTGGCGTCAGACTTTCGATGGTACTGGCATCGTAGTAGAAGTATGCCAGTAGAGGACCGTTCACGTTCGCGTTCGCCAAATGATGGATGAGATAACTGGTGGCCACTGTCTTCCCCGATCCAGCTTGGCCATGCATCCACAGAAGAGACGATCTCATCTGGCACCATTTGTGGAATTCAGGGTGGTTGAGCAGCCAGTTGCAGGTCTGCGAGCAGTACAGCTGGAACCCGCGACGGTATTGAGCCTCGTGCTCATAGTCAGACAGCCAATCCAGGATGTTGCGGCGCTCGTCTGCGGCCTGGCTCGACCTGAGATCGCTTGACAATGCCGCCACTGCGTCCGAGACGGTATCCAGGGTCGTGCGCTGATTCGTGAGAGCCTCCCTGTGCGGATAGATTAGTACACGCCTTCCCAGTTAATTCAGTGTATCTCCTGGAGACCCACGCAGATAACGAATCCAACGCCAGCGACAGAGATGCCTTGTGCCTCTCAAGGGCGTTGATGAGTTCTTCTGTCTCACTCCGTCGGAGCGGCCAGAGGAGACGGTTGACTGTTTGCTTGCGTGTCGACTTGCTCGCTCCGGGCGAGTGCTTTTGCAGCCTAAGAGCCAATGTCTCGAGTGAGGCTTTGCAGTCGGCACAGACCGTCTCCAATGCTTTTCCAGCTTGATCGCTCTGTTTGATCAGTCCTTGCACACCCACCAAGATGCCGCTGAGGCCGGTCACCTCGGACACGAGTCTCTTTGCTTCGCTGGGGGCGTCGGCCACGCCACAGCCGTAGCGGTAGCACCGTCCAAGCACAAATCCCGCTAGGGAGATCAACCCGGCCACGCCTGTGGCTGCCGAGAAGGGGTCGGTCATGACGAGCAACGACGATGATTCAGGGGCTGGGGGATGGCTTCAGGCCATATCAACAGAATAAGCCGCGGCCTTCCGCTTGGACTAGTGTCGTCCTCTTCCAAAGCTACTGGATGGCATCTCAAGCCTTCATCTCAGTGAGAAGGACCCTGTAGCTGGGACTGCCGTGCGAGGGAGTCAGTGAAGAAAAGATCTTGCCCGCGTCGAGACTAAGACCACGAGATTTCTTCTGGAGACAGCGATGCGAATGATGGCTGCCTTGCATGGCCGATTATTCGGCTGCCGTCAAGAGACATGCAAGTAGAAGAGGCTCCGAATATCAAGGCGGTGAAGACGCCCGTTAATCAGCTTGAATGTCTCACTCTTTGCCAAGATGGGCTTGGTGAAACGTTCTCGCTTACCGGCATACTTGTAGTAGAGACGAACTTGGCGGGGTAGTAGTATCCTGGAACGCTGCTCAGCCACGGAGAGCCAGTGTTATCGTAGGTGCATACGATATACATCTGGCTTTGGCACCTTCTCCGCACGGCTCCCATTACCGACATCGCGCTCAGACCGCCCCTGTCGTTCTGCAATCTTGTTAAGTCAGGTCAAAGCAAGAGTTCATGAGCCAACCCAAGGTCTGCTCACGAAAAGGTCGGACTCGAGCTCGAGGTTCTGCACGAGTCTGCGCACCAGTGGCCTAGAAGTGTGGAACCGGCAGAGATAGATGCAAATAGCACGGCACTCGAAGCTGGCACGGCGCCAAAGCCACCACTGCTTCAGACGACAGACTTTGGCGTACCAGTGGGCCAGGACGAGCAGAGCGGCGACGTCTTTGCGGGCCAGCAACAGCTTAAAGCCCGGGTCTACCGACGTGAAGAAGCCAATGTATACGCCGAACGTCTCGGGAGTGCACTCGACGCGGGCCATTTGCGAGAGCGTCGCCGTCGGGATCAGATAGGGGTTGGTGGAGGAGGTGCAAGCGGCGGTAATGGAGCAGACGGTGAGCAGATCGGGGGGCAGGGTGGAGAGATCGGCGTCGCTGGCGCTGAGGAACTGTGTGAGGGTCTGGAATTTGGGGATATGAGGGTAGAAGATGCTGTCGGCGCGGTGCGGATCGGCAATCTTCCAGATCTCCTTCTTGCCCTCGATAAGCTTGAGCCAGTCCAGGTCGGTGGGCGATGATGGGCGCATTGGCCAGGCATCCTCGGGGGATGTGGCGTCGAATGAGGCGAACGCTAAGGTGGCCAGGAACACTGCACTGGCCCAGAGTGCGTCCTTTTCGGACGCCTGCACCCCGTGGGTCAGCTTGTCGTTCAGCATGGAGGCTCCTTGCGACCAGTGGAAGGCGATGGCTCGAGACTGCTTGGAGCCGATGTCTACTCCCAGATAACGATCGTGCATGATTGTGAGGGTGAGCATGATATGCAGGAGGAACGGGTGCTTGGAGAGGCATGTCAGCAGCAGCAGTCAGAGGGCAATAGATTGACAGGACACACAGTGAGAGCAAGAGAGGTATAGACATCCTGGAAATGCCTTGCATACTGGCCCATGCCTATAGTGGTGCTGGTCCTTTCTTTGAACCTGTCGAGGAGACTGAGGTTCCACATGTCGAGTACATGGCTTCCCTGATTGCAGTTCAGAAGCGTGGGAAAAGGCGGATTGGCTGGGATGACATTCAATCGGGTTGCATTGTCGTAGTCGGGCCTGAAGTCGGGGCTGCCGAGCAGGACTTCGACCTCATGGGCTCCGTCGTAGGATGCCTGCAGCAGAGGATCTGTGGTGTTGTAGGTACAGATGACATTGTAGGCCCGACATCTTTGGCATTCAGGCTTGTCTTCATCACACTAGAAGTAGATAGATCAGTATGATCCTTATGCGAGGTTGATTGACAACGCACCTTGACCTTTCGCAGCTTGCAATTCCCACAGCCCTGCCGGGATTTGGTGTGTGTTCTTCTTAACTTGCGGGGAGTCTTGATGCCCCGTTCAGCAACGAGCGTCATTTCGGCTGGAGTAACGGTATGCCAGACATCCCCCATACCATAGAACACCAACTGCGGCTGGCTTTCTTCCGCTCAGAGAGGACAGTCGTGAGGTAGGATATCGAGCTGGGATAGTAGTAAGCGAGGAACAGAGATACAGTACCTGCTACGTCCTACACTCAATCGCCTACATTTGAACGTCGACAGCAAACTCCACTTCCAAGATGACGCTAACCTCCTCTCGCTTTGGGTGGATACCACTATTCCACATCCGGCATTGTGAGATCATCTACTTTGGGACGGCATCTCAGTGGTATCACAGTAGTATTATAGTAGTATTATAGTAGGTAGTATTATAGTAGTATTATAGTAGTATTATAGTAGTATTGTAATAGTGTTGTACTAGTATTGTAGCAGTACTGTAGTACCTGTTATAGTAGAGGTATCACAGCGCTATCACAGTGGCAGATCCATGCAGTCTCTTGGAGATCAGAATCAGAATCGTTTTCAAAGTTCCAAGTCAAGATCTGCTTCTAGAGAACACCCGAGACTATACTACCCAGCTCAGTCCAACATGCGAGAGTGCTTGTTCATGTACTCCTCAAAAGTGGCTAGCTTTCCCCGTGCATTTTCCACCGCCCATTCCACGAGTTCTGGGGTCTGAGGGCCGTAATATCCAAAGTCCTGCTGATAGGACATGGTTTCGACCAGCATGATGCCCCAGGGAGGCAGTCTGCCGAGATACTCTTCCGTGGAGATCTGGCGGTAATAGACATTTTTGCCCGTGGCTTTCGCCATGATCTGGCAGATCTGTTCCATCGTATACAACTTGGTAGCGGCGCAGAAAACCTGGCCCTCGTACTTGTCAGGGTTGGCCAGGATGGCGCCCACGAATTTCCCCGTGTCTCCGGCCACGTCAATGAGAGGCAACTGGGTTTGGGGGCTGATATGTCGCTCCACAGGGTAGTCTCCACTGGCATCCTGCTGGGGCTTCACCATGCCAGTCCAGTTCTGCATAAATGAGCCGGGCGAGAAGAAGGCGCTCCGGACAGGAAGCTTGCGGATGTACTCTTCCACAGCGGCCTTCGCGTCAAAGCCCCACACGCGAGTGTATTTGCCGCCCGAGATCTCTTTGACGTGGGGGAGTGTGCTGAAGATGATGTATTGGACTCCTTGGACGACTGCGGCATCGGCAATGGCCTTGCCTTGAGCCCACTCGGACCCCTTCCAGGTCGGGCTGTAGGATGGGGTGGTCATGGCAAAGATGGTGTGCGCATCCTGGAGGACGGGCGCAATGGAAGGCTCGTCGTCCAAATCCGCCTGGACGACCTCCACGCCTTTTTCTTTCAGAGCCTGGGCCGTTGCCGATGTCGTGTCGCGTGTGACACCACGGATCTTGTATTGCGAACACAGCTCAGGGTCGTCGAGGACATGTTCAATGACCGACCCACCCTGTTGGCCTGTTGCGCCGAAGACGACGAGGAGTTTGCTCATGATCTGTTATCTGTTGCTAGCGGGCCAAGTTTGAGTTGGTGGTCTTCGATGGGAACGTACGAAAGAGGTGACATGACGGTTCGGACGAGTATCAGGAATTGATGTACATTTATACCTAGATATATAATATTCAAAGTGGGGACATAACTTATGGGCCTGTTAGGCACCACCATTTCAAATCGTCAATAAGAACTCGCGTATTTAATATTCAATCAATTAAACAGAGCTGCGCCACGCTCATGAGTCATAAATCGTGCTATCACAGTAGCTTATAAGCTATGCACCAATTTTGGCGTTTTCGTGATGGCGCGCTGCTATAGCGGAAATTATACGTACGTACGTACTGACTGCCCTGACTGCCCTGTTCTCGTACGTACGTACCTAGGCAACTGCCAATCCCCAGACCGACACGACGCAAAGAAATGTTATCTCGACTGAGTCACGCTGTCCTGCGTCGGCGTCAACGCGCTGGGTATCTCACCCGGAGCCAGCTGCCATGCCATATCCACCGCGCCTTGAGGGTCTCCCTTATTGAACAAGAACAATCCCTGCAAAGCTGCCATACTGGTGTGGCTGTTGCGCGAAGAGGCATGGGAGAGGACGCCCACCTCGGAGAGCTTGGCCAAAAAGCGACTCTTGAACTTGCCCTCCGGATCGACCTCGCCATAGAAGCGTTCCCAGAGCTGCTCGATCTGGTATGTAGTCGCCGGGCCCAGATGCACAGTCATGTCGACTCTGCCAGGCCGGACGAGTGCTTCGTCAAGTCTATCAACGTGATTGGTGGTGAGGAAGATGATTCGCTCTTCCGCACTCCCCACGCCGTCCAGAGCATTGAGCAGGCCTGAAAAGGTCACATTGGCGCCTTGATACCCGTCAGCCTCCACCTGGCGGCGGTTGGCGAACGCGGCATCGACGTCCTCCAGCAGAACCAGAGTCCGCTGAGGTATCACCGTCAAGAGGTGATTCAGTCGGTCATCCGTCAGACCTCGCTCACTGAGATTCAGCATTGCAATGTCATAGTTCAAATGGCCGGCCAAGGCCTGAATGAAGGAGGACTTGCCCGTGCCTGGTGGGCCATAGAGAAGATAGCCTCTCCGGTAGGGTATACCTCGTTCGTAGTACCATTTGGAAGACGAGAGAAAGTCTTGCACGTCAGCAACAATCCGCTCTTTCACGCCTTCATCGAGAATGACGGACTCAAGAGGTCGCTTGCTTCGCGGGTGTCCGAATTTGTCCCACTTGGTGCCCCAGGCAGTATATATGACCGTCTTGCCCTCGACAGATTGCGTCGCAATGTCATGGGCTTCCTTGAAGAGAGACTCAAACACATGCCGGTGCGAGTACAACGTCGTCAGGGTCACCGTTTCCCAAGGTTTCCCATCCATGGAGAATTGTTTGGACTCCCTCTGCCTGTTCACGGATATCCAAGCATTCCTATACCGGATGATGTGTCGCCCGGGCCCGGGGATGAGGACAAAATCGGTGTGAATCGCCCCGTTGGGCAGTTCTCGCTTCTCGGTCTCGATCGCGAGATGGCGCATGCCTGGAGTGAGTCGCTGAAGGATGGATTCCAATACACCCGTCCTCGATCCTGGTGTACCGTCTGCTAGTTGTTTCGCCGCTCTTTCCATAAGTCTCCCTCGTTCATGCAATGTCATCCAGTAGAGAAACCAGGGATATGAATCATCTCGAACGCTGATCTCGACATCGACGAGCAGCCGTCGGCGAAGGAGGGCAGCTCCTTGTCGCACGCTTCGTTGCGCAAAGGCCGCGAGCGCACCTAGACCCGCAAGTCCAAATCCCTTTCACGGTCAGAAAAGCCAAAAAATGTCGCGATGGACGATGCTTACCGCTGTGAAGAAGGGATTGCTTGTCAACTGCGCGAGAAGACCGCCATCAGATGCGTTGCCTGCACCTGCAAACTGACGCAGTAGGTCTGCCTTTGACGGCGCAGCAGCTTCAGTCAGACCTGGTGATGTATGCGCTGCTGAGTTTGACGCGACTGTGACCACTCCATTGTCGCTCTGCATGCCCCTTGTGAGTCCGCTCCCGGGAGCATCTGTTCCACAGACAACAAATTGATTTGATCTAGATCATCAGTACGGATGCAATGGCATGGAATCGAGGCGTCAGGCTGCGGAAAGTTTTTCGTCCGATAGCTCGGAGTTAAGAATCAAAGCATCACTAGGAGCGAAGTTCGCGCAAAAAAGACAGGCATTAATATAACGGCGTCAACTACTACTCACTACTAATACCCAACGAGCCAGCATCTCCCCAGGCACCAGGGAACCGCGACACGAAAGGTCGGCCTGATCTCACTGTAGAAATACGAGAGTCGCTGGGCCTCGTCGAGCGCCTGCGATTTCTTTCCTCTTCTTCTTAGACCTCATGCGCACCTTTCTGCGACAACTGTTCAACAAACGCGCGGCCTTCAAAGTCCAGCCTTCACCTCCGCCTCCAGCTCCCTTTCGAACAATGTCGAGTGCCTCTGTGGCTGCCACTCTGTACGCTGCGACTGCTGCGGTCCCGTCAGTAGCGAGCCCCAGGCCCGAAGATGAAGTGACCAAGGGCAAGGCATGGCACGTCAAGAGTGGTGGATTCCAAAACCCGTGGCCGTCGTGGCAGATGCAGTCGGTCTTCAGCATCTTGTCTGGCATGGTGATCAGGAGATTCCAAGGGAAAGCCCATTCACCAGACACCACGCCTCCAACGGTTCCAGTACACAAGCCCGTGTTTCTATCTGAACGGACCGCAAGCTCCTCTCTGCGAGCGACCTGGTTGGGCCATGCATGCTACTTTGTCGAGTTTCCCTCTGGAATGCGAGTCCTCTTCGATCCCGTCTTCACAGACCGATGTTCGCCACTGTCCTGGCTAGGACCGAAAAGATATACCGAGATGCCATGCAAGATCAAGGACATCCCCACAATTGACGCCGTGGTCATCTCCCACAACCACTACGACCACCTTTCCCACCCGACGATTATGGAGATTGCCAAACTACACCCCGAGTGCCATTTCTTCGTGCCTCTGGGGAACAAGAAGTGGTTTGAAGACTGTGGAATCGTCGGGAAGTGCACCGAATTGGACTGGTGGGAGGACGTCGACTTCACGCTCAAGCCCTCTGCTGCTCCCGGGAAGGCCACACAATCTATCGTCACCGAGCCAGACAGCTCCGAGTCCGACACCAACCCTTCGGCCGATTCCATCACAGCTCGCATCTCGTGTCTCCCCTGTCAACATATTTCCTCGCGGAGCATTAACGACCGCGCCAAAACGCTCTGGGCCTCGTGGGCGGTGTCGTCTGGAGGCAAGTCCGTGTACTTTGGCGGCGACACAGGCTATCGCAGTGTTCCCAAGGAGGCCGACGGCAAGGACGACTGGACCGACGAATACGCCTCGCTTCCATGCTGCCCTGCCTTCAAAGATATCGGCCGTCTCCGTGGTCCTTTCGACTTGGGACTTATTCCTATCGGCGCGTACCGGCCTCGCTGGATTATGAGCCCAATGCATGCCGACCCGCGCGATGCTGTTGAGATCTTCCGAGACACCAAGTGTCGCAGAGCCCTTGGCATGCACTGGGGTACGTGGGTTCTGACGGAGGAAGATGTACTGGAGCCGCCCGTGTTGTTGAAAAAGGCCCTCGCCCATCATGGGATCCCTGAGACAGGGGTGTTTGACATTTGCGACATTGGTGATAGTCGAGAATTCTAAGCAAGAGCTTTGTTTGTATCTCAGGCTGTGCCGGCTCGGAAATGCAACGTGCAGGCAGTGTTCCCGCAGTGTGATTGATATAGCTTGACCATCTCCGCTGACCATCTGTTCTACCATAATGTCACCACCCAATGCTGCAATTGACAAGCAGCAAAGCCTTCCTTACTAATCGTACAGGGATCAACCATATGCTTGTGGCCGTCATCAGCTCCTTTCTCTGGACTTTTGACCACTTCAGTATCCGTTGCTCTTGAGCACAAGACCATTCCCAGTCATCGCTTTCAGAATATCGGAGTATGCAATGTCAAATCCTTTTCACTCCCAGTTGTCAGCCGCTAAAGGAGGCCCTCGGCAAAAGAGAGCTCCCTTCGTGACGTATGAGCTAGATTATGTAGCCTTGCGTTTTGCTCTGGACTTGCCAGGGGCTGCCTTCGTGCTCTTCTTCTTTGGTTTCACTTCTGGCTCCTCCGCATCCTCGTCATCCTCGTCGGCAGCGGTGGGCGACAATTCAGGTGCCGAGACCTCATATGCCTCGTCAGCATCTGGGTTGGCGTCTTCCTCAATCTCTGCCTTGACTTTCTTTGCTTTCTTGGACTTCGCTGTCTTGGCTTTCGACGTCACAGGGGCATCGTCTTCGTCTAAGCTCTCACGCTTGACCTTTTTCGCTCTTGTTTTCTTTCCCTTCGCCTCAGATTTAGGGGCTGGAGCATCATCTGAGTTCCCGTGTTGGGCGCTGATGAGGTCTTCAATGACTGTATCTTGCTCCTCTGTTTTGACCTTCTTGGCGCGTGGTTTTCTCGTCGGTTTCGCCTCCTCCGCTTCCTCTTCACCCTTGTCGGGAGTCTTCCGCTTTCGGCCTCTGGGCTTCTTGACAGGTGGAGGCGAGGCAAGTCCTTCTTCATCATCTTCAGCCTTCACTTTGCGGCCTTTACTTTTCATCTTTGGCGGCGGCGAGAGAGCTAGATCGTCTTCGTCATCTTCGGGTTCCGTCTTGACCTTCTTTGCTCGGCTCTTCCTCGCTTTCGGCTTGCTCGGAGTGCCATCTTCGTTTGCTGCTGCTGCGTCATCTTGCTCGGCATCCTTCTTCTTCTTTGGGGTACGTTTGTTGATGCCCTTCTGTCCAGGCCGATTCAGCTCCGGTTCCTAGGTCGACTGTGTTAGGATATGAGCGTGATCAGTCGCGGAGTGTCAGTGCTTACTCCCTTCCAGTCCTCATCCGCAACGTGGCCGTGAAGCAGCGCAAATTTGACCTTTTCACATGCCTCTGGAGAAAGTTCATCGTAGCCATCCAGGATTCTGGGAAGATCATCGTCGAGATCAAGGCCCTCTAGTGGCCCCACCTGCTCTTGGATGTTTTTGATCTGAGCAGGAGTAACACATCCCCTAGCCGTGGGGTAAACATATGAAGTCACATTGCGATGGAGTTGGGGAAATTACCAGTGCTTCCACTTCCACGTGAAGTGGTCCTGAAAGCTCACCAGGGTGCCAAATCTCAATTCCCCTTTCTCGATCTTCAGACCTGCAGCCTTGCATGCAGAGTTTTGGCAGTTTGCACGGCCGGTCTTGGCTAGTTCTGAATGTTGTGTCAGACTGGAGCACACCTGCAATGCCAGCGAAGAGAAGATGGTAAAAGTGACGGCAGCACAGGATGGAGCTAGTAACTTGGTACACGCCAACGCCAAAGACAGTCGGCCTGGGAGCGAAGACTGACACCGAATTATTTGACGGAGATGAACTCACCGAACCGGTAGGTGGCGTTCGACATCGTGCCTGCAGAGACAGAGATGTGCCGCGGGTGTCCCAGGGTTTGAGCAGTAGAAACTTCGAATAGATAAGCAGACGCTTCAGGAGAAGAATCAACGCGGATGCTCAGTAACGAACATCAGAAAAACTTGAAGCAACGTTGAGACAGATTCTGCGGCATGGAAGAATTGTTGGAAGTGCTTTGATGAAGTTCAAGTTGTGCCTTTGAAGTTGCTGGCACCGCAGGCAGGAACGCGTGATGGTCAAACAACGGGCAGCTCCTGCCTGAAGTCGTAACAATGAAACAGCGTCACGTATCAACGCGTACTAGTGCTACTAGTGCTACTAGTGCCTGCTAAAGTGTGAAGCGTGGCATCCAGATTCTCGGACGTCATCGTCATCTCAGCCTCGTCTCGTGTTCTTCTGCCTGGATTTTATTCTGCATCAAATGGATCACAATATACTTGAATGTTCATAGTACGATGTATCAATGGGCGGCAATCCTTCCCTTGACACCATCCACGCTGGCACTACTTCCTCGATATTCAGTTGAGATGCCAGTATGACATTGATTGTGGCCTCCAGCTATGAGGGAGCTTCAGACAAAATGAGCACCATGTTACAATGAATCCCTTTGATGCTTCAGAACCACAAGCCCAGACCCCTTTCTCTCCATGAACCACTCTGCTGCCTACTGGCTTCAGCTTGCTTGGGCATCACGCTTGCTTGGTTGATTTTGAAGCACCGGCTTCCTTTGCACCGTGGTTTCCATCGTCACTATTGATTTCGTGTGGGCCCTCCTGTCCCTCCAGGACAGCTCCCTGTTCCTCATCGGCATGTCTGTTCGGCCGGCTGTATGTCGCCGAAAACTCGTGGAGGCCATCGTGGAAAATTGCATACGGGAGCTCGCCATGGACCTCGCCGTCGCCGATAAGCAGCTGTTCTTCGTTATATCTTAGAGGGATCCTCAGGACATATTTGATGAACAAACAGATGGCACTGGTCCAGAAGATATTCCAGCCAATGATGAAGAGGAATCCGACAATCTGCACCCAAACTTGACGGCCATTACCATCAATGGCACCGCCGGTTGGCGCCAGGGCAAAGGCCGCGGTGCCTTCACTTGTTGCAAACAAGCCGGTCAAGAAACCGCCGACGATGCCGCCCACCAAATGCGTGTGGAAGTCTCCGACGACATCGTCGCTGAATTCCAGAAACCATCTCTGCTTGCCGAGAATATTCATGGACATCCAGGGAATGGTCCCGGAGCAAAGCCCGATGATGACCGCACCCCAGCCTGCCACAAAGCCTGCCGCCGGCGTGATGGCGACAAGGCCGGTTATAATACCTTGAACAGCCCCGATTACCGCTGGCTTCTTGAAGAAAATCAAGTCCAAGACCGTCCATGTCAACATGCTCATCGCCGTGCAAATGTTGGTATTAAGCACAGCAGCACCTGCATCTGGAGACGCAGTGTATGGGTCACCACCGTTGAAGCCGTTCCAGCCCAGCCAGAGAAGTCCTACACCAGCAAGTGCAAGTAGGACGTTGTTGGGATAGAAATCGGTGCGATCACGAGGGTGCCGCGGCCCAACCCAGTAGGCCATGACGAACCCGGCGGTGCCAGACGAGACATGGATGACATATCCGCCCGAATAGTCCAGAACGCCCATTTGATACAGGAAGCCGCCTCCCCAAATACTGAATGCTCCCACGGTGTAGCTGAGCGTGATCCACAATGGCACAAATGCCATCCAGGCGAGGAAGTTCATCCTTGCTAGGCCAGCACCTGCAATGAGGACCACGGTGATTGCTGCAAAGACGAACTGGAAATACACCATTGTGCTCATGGGATACGCGGCGGTTAACCCGGCGGCGGGCAATACGGCCTGTTTCAATTCATAATTCATCGCGACTGCCGGACCAGGGACCCCGACAAAAGGCAACATCTGCTCGCCGAACGACGCCTTATAGGCCCATACCACCCAGCAGATCAGGACAGCTGCAAAGGCATACAGGACCATGAAGGCGGCGTTGATCGCCCATTTCTTCTTCACCAAGCCGGCGTACATGATCATCAGGCCCGGAACCGACTGCAAGCCCACGAGGGTTGCAGCCGTCAGTTGCCAGGCGTTGTCTCCATTGTTGAGCCACTCCGGTGCGACAAGGTCGTCTGCATTCCAGTTCGGCATTTTGCGGCGGATCGAATCGTCGGCCGGGTGAAGAGGATAACGAACGAGGAGGGGCCTAGGAAGATTCGACGGGACAATTCTGAGGCCGATGGAGTATGGCGCTGCAACTGTACCAGAACAGGGAGACGTGTCGGGCAGCTGAGCGATGGTTCACGTCTCTTAAGAAGCCGGACATCGCGCTCCAAAGACGACATGACCCCTCTCCACGTCCTGAGAGTTGTTTTGGTGCCTACCATGCGGCACGAGTCCGACGGGGATGGAAGCGAAATCATTCCTCGAGCGCGTCACCCTTTGCCAGATCATGTCCTGGATCGGCAGCTCCATGCTGGAAGGGATGCCACGGTCTGCGAACGGCCCAGCCAGGCACCAGGATGTCCGTTGAGCACAGCTTTCGCTAATAATGATAGGCCCGACATGCGTGCCTCCTTGTCAATATAAACGAGGTGACTTCGAAGTTAGGCCATCAAGAAATTGCAAAGAAGGTACATCGACCGCTCCATCAGGCTTGGAGCATGGGGGATATCGCAAAGTCTGGGGAAATGCAACCAATGGTGGAGAAGAAGCTTATCAGTGCTTAGCATGGGTCCAAATGCACCATTCAACCCTGGCAAACTTTGCTAAGCCTTGCCCGGTCAATGCTTGGCCCCTTGACTTGGCTTGTTCGAACCTGGACGTTCAGCATCTTGCTCAACCTACCGGCGCAGGACGACCTCGACCTTATCTCTCCGACGCAAGGGAGGTATCAAGTGAACGGCATGATGTGGCAAGGTCTACACGAAAGCAAGCGAAGAATGGCCCCCAGTGGTCTGATGCCAGGGATCCGTCTGCAACCTACCACCACTCAGCGTGAGCAACAGCAGACACCTGGACGACAAGGGGATGGCGGATTGACATGCGGACGACTTGACAGGGCTTGTCTTATCTCTGCCGCTGTGACAGCAAGTATAATTTCATGTCCTTGACGGTATCTTGCGTTCGCCCGCGTTAGACTCCCGTTCGAGCGGGTTGTCTGCTACAGAGTTCCAGATCCTTGGGCCAAGGAGACCTATCATCAAGAGTGCACACTAGCATGGAGACTCGGCGTGCCCCCCTTGCTTTATCGAGATGCTTCCCACGGACAATGGACGAGGAAGCAGGTTGATACTTGATATATACGTCGATGCGTGTGATGGGTCGATTCTTGACCAAGGTGCAGGACCTGTCGAGCGTCTGTTTAGAGCCACAACGACGTTTGTCGGTATAGTATACAGACGAGCTCCTGAATTAATTCCCCCATCCTCAAGTGTCCAGCGAATTCCATAAAGTAAGTGAAACACCCAGTATCACTGTCGAGTTGTACACGTCTCAAGACATGCTCATCTCGCAGCCAAGCTGACACACCGCGCTGCCTTCCCCTACCACAACCACAATGGCAACGGCGGGCTCCCCAGGCACTTCACTTCACCGCACGTGAATAAATCGAGGGTATTTGTACCAAACTCGCCGAATTTCTTCACAATAGCGCAAAGACCCCCAGATGGCCCAGTGGCCTAGTCGGAACTGGGCGATATTCGATCCAAGTTCACCTGTTCGAGTCCCAATCTCTCCAACCCTGCGAACCCGGGTTAACGCCAACCACCGATCTCATTTCAAACAAAGTCCTGCGAACCCGGGCTGACACCAACCAGCGAACCCCAAACGGAAAAACCCTGCGAACCCGGGTTTCACTTCCCACAACCCTTGTATCATAAAAGATACAAGGCTTGTGGAAAAAGTTTTTGCCGTCTGAGAAGACTACAGCAGTGTCTAATGGTGGCCGTAAGATACCGACAATGTCAAGATCTTCTCATCTATCGCTGCAGTGTATTCACAATACATGGGATCGTGGTGTAGTCTACAAAGCTACGAAGACTCTCCACCACAGGTCGGTCGTCAATGTGGCCATGGCAAGCTTGGATTCGAGTTATACACTCCTTGACAGGTTACAAAAACCAAATACGGGATTGGGTTCTAACTTCATCTACAGTGTTACCTGGAGTTGCATTATTCAGACTTGAATTGTCTGCAAAGGTGTCTTAACGGGCGTGTGCTGACCTATACTAACATATCATTGAAGCCTGACATTACAAATCCTCAAACTATTGCCTAGGCAAGGTATTTGTTAAACCACTCAATACCTTGCTTCGCGGCATCATCCATGGCCTTCTTATCGGCATCACTGCTCCAATCACTGCGCAACGCAAACCCATGAACCTGACTATCATAGATCCTGACTTCAGTGGGAACGCCGTTCTTCTCCAGCGTCTCTTTGATCTGCTCGACGGACTTCAAATCCAGCATGGAATCCTTCTCCCCGACGGCAAGACTGACGGGTTTCACGACCGGAGTCAAATCGGCCGGGATGGATAGTAAGGACGGATGACACGCGTAAACGGCATCCACGCCGCCCTTCTGCCCCTCCTCCCGCTTATGGCCCTGCATAATGGCATAGCGCCCGCCCCAGCAGAACCCGATGGCGCCTATCTTTTGCGTGTCCTCGACACCTCGCACCGCGTCCATGAAGCCGGAAACAATCGGCTCCGAGACCCCTTCGCGGTGTTTGGCCAACCACGGCCCCAGCGTGGCCATCACGTCGACCGTCTCTTTCGCCTTGGCCAGTAGGCCTTCCTGCTCCTTGACCTTCAGCGGCGGCTCGATGCTCTGCAAGAACTCAATCGGCAGGGAGTCGCCCGCGTGCACGTCCGGGATGTAGCAGTAGAACCCGGCTTGGGCGTACTGGTCGGCGAGTAGGCGCACGTTCTTGAATTTCCAGCCGAATATGTCCACTATGAACACGACGCATTTCGCCTTGGACTTGCTCTCCGGTTCGGCGACGTAGGTTGGTAGGCTGCCGATCGTGGTTTCGTGGCCTTGTGGACTTCCGCTGTGCACGGCGCCCGAGAGGCAGCATGCGCCCATGCCGATTTGTGTCGACATTGTGGTGATATAACGGATTCCGATGGTGGTGTCTTGAGAATCCAGCGATGGCAGGACCGGGAGGGGGTTGAGATAAGGAGGGTGTGTGAGATGCAGTGGGACTGAGACTGAAGAGCCGAAACTGAAATGTAAAGAAGCAGTCAAGGGACTTTGTCCTGCGCGGCCTTGCTACTGCTTCAAGTTTGCGGGGTTGGTCTACTAGTACTTCAGTGAAGTGTGATCATGAATAAACTCGCAACTTGAACTGGGTAGAAAGGTACAGGTATAGGTACTTTTCTCATGTTCAGACCTTAAGGTACCTTACCTACTAGTACCTCCTTCACTCCTACCTACTAGTAACTACCTTACCTGCCTAAGGTCCTGTCCTAGTAGATCTATGACTTCACCCCTTCTGAAGCCATACTAACTGCTGGCTAGTACGTCGACGACGATTGGCTCAGCGGCTGAAAGGGGACTCGGAGTTGGAGTTGTTCGTCGATCCTTGACTCCGCGATAAGATCAAACTTACCTAGGTACCTTAGGTAAGGTATTTATCGGGACATCACTGCATGCGGGGTCATTGATGTCTATTGACCTTTCCGTATCAGTGTTAGCGTGCGATAGCGATCAACCCTGCTTGCCATATTGAGTCTAGTGGATTCTACGTCATAGTCCGGGGAAGAAATACAGAAACATTCACGTATGGGAATTTACATCTACACGTCAATTCAAACATATCTCACGTGTGCTTCTAGTTATAGGTTATCAGTTGACTGGATTTGCTAACTGGATTCTCTACACGAAGAGCTCAAGGCTGGCATGTCTCGATAGCAGTCAAAGAGATCGTCCACAGTGGCCTTCTTATCTCCTTGGATAGATGCATCTAGGCATACAGCCTGCATTGAGGTGAACTCCCTTTCGTGGGTAGATGATGGTGCAATCTGATATGCGATCCGTCTGTAGCTATGGGGTGCCACACCCGAGCAGACCTCGCTGTAGATGGCCGGAGAGTCGCTGCAAGAGAATGCTCTCGTGAAGCATTTCAGTTTTCCTCACCATATCATGTTGCTACCACGATGGATCCGATGTATCGGTGACTCCTGAGACCATTGTTGCGTGTGGAAGCCACGATAGCATCACCCTGTAAGCCTCAGGCCACCCGGGTCGTCTGCTGAACGAAAACTGTCCTCAAGACACTTCGTCCTCTTCTGCTCTCAGGATATTCACAAATCCATCCATATGGCATCGAGCAGTTCTAATTAACTTTGCGCTGTGTACTTCACCATACTCGATAGAGGCTCCCACTTCCAGCGTTCCCGAAGGATGACTGATCACCGTATTGGAGGGATGCAGGTGCCTGGACAGCTTTGCCGGAATAGTGCCATGCATTTTGCAAGCCACCCCCAAATTCAGGGCGAGTGTCACGGGAACGGCCTTGTGGGCTTGCTCCATGGACAGAGCCTGGCAAGCAAGGTCCCCACCGTCCTCAGTAGTGGTTGGGAAAAGCAGGACGATCTTGGGTATGCTGCTGATGTTGGGATCCAGACCCATCATCTCCGCGCCCGTTCTGCGGATCGTCTCGAGCTTGTCCAGTAGTGCCTGATCGACGTTAAGTTCCTCAGGCGAGGCATTTGCCCGCCAACCAATCTCACTCCCATCGACGAAAATTCCAGGGTTACTGACGTCGATAAGTGACGCCTGAATGACATGATTTCCGACTTCAATCTCATCAATTGGGTTGCCTGTCGGCAGTGCAGTTCCGGTCTTGGAGCCCGATGGGTCAAGGAATGATAGAGTAATGGTCGACCCTGTCCCGGGGACACCGTCGATGGAACAGTTTCCTAGTTCGAGGTATTGCCAGTGCCCGTTGACTCGACATGCTTGGAAATCGGACTGGATGATTTTGTCTGTATTTGTGTTCCTCATTCTCAGGGTAATGCACTCACTCTCGAGAACGGCGTGCGGTTGACTCTCGCTGCCTGGAATCTTCTCATAGAGGCCGGCATAGAGCGCAAAAGGGCCAACTGCAGCAGTCAGATTGCCACAATTACCAGCCATATCGAGCCTTCCATCATTGATGCCTATCTGGAAGAAGGTGTAATCGATATCAGCATCTGGTTGGTTTGAGGGACCAACCACCATCGCTTTACTGAGGGACGATATGCCCCCTCCCATCCCATTTAGCTGTCTACCGTATGGGTCCGGTGATCCCATGATCGTGGCAAAGAACGCTTCCATTCTTCTAAACTGAGCAGTGCCAGACTGAACATTTGAGGCGAGACTGGTCTGAAGCCAATCAGGCAGGTCTGAAAGCGTGAGGAAGATGCCCTTGGAGGTACCACCACGCCAGAAGGACGCTCGCACGGCGTGAGGGAGCAGAGAAGATGACGATGACATGGTTCTCATTCTCCTGGCACCTAGGTGACCGCTCAGGCGTAGAAGGTTTAGGCAGACATGATTTGTGCTCTGCAGGTGTCCCAGCGTGGAGGGTCTTGGGCAGCGCGGTCGGAAAAGCATTGTCTGAGATGGCACAGCGTCGAGGCAGCAGTCAACGACCCAACAGCCATCAAGCTGGGCGTAACGCTACATGTGTCATCGGCATAGATGACCGGCTCCTTTGATCATCCCTAGAACAACAGAAAACACTTGAGACGGGTTGCTTTGCATTGCACAAACCTGAGGTCGATCGATTGTTGTACTTGTGGTGAGGCCATCCAATCACAACGCCGTAATTGAATTCAGACTTCATCGATCAACTGCGCAACATCACACTCGTCCACCAGGTGAAGGATACCTAGGTAGTTATACGATATCACATCCCTCTCTCGGCCTGCTTCCGTTCTCTTTTCTACTGAACTCTCCAGGATGGGCTCTTTAGGGTCGCCCAGTCCACCCCAATTCCTTGTCATCGGCGCCGGGTCTCGAGGACACGCATATGCCCGCGCAGTCGAAGCCTCTACGTCGGGCACAGTTGCCGCCATAGCAGAGATCGATGCGTTCAAACGGCAAGAATTCGGCAAGAGATACATATGGGGCAGAGACGGACAGCCTACAGAGCATCAATCTTTCGCTGGATGGCAAGAGTGGGTTGAGTGGGAGACACGCAGAAGACACAATGCAGACAAGCCCGGAGGGATCCAGCCTGGCTATCTTCCTCTCACCGGAGTCTTCATTTGCACTTTGGACGAGACTCATGCGCCCATCATCCGCGCGATCGCCCCTCTGAACCTCCATATCCTTTGTGAGAAGCCGTTGGCGCTGTCCCTGTCAGACTGCGTGTCCATCTCCTCGTCTCTTTCAAGATACCCTCCGAAAGTGGTCTCAATTGGCCATGTGCTTCGGTATTCGCCGCACAATATCATCCTTCGCCAATTTTTGACCGCCGAACAGGTCATTGGCGAAGTCATTTCTGTCGAACATACCGAACCCATCGGCTGGTGGCATTTCGCTCATTCGTATGTCCGGGGAAACTGGCGACGGTCGACCCCGGAAGGTATCGGTTCGTTGTTGACCAAGTCCTGTCACGACATTGATTTCCTCATGTGGCTCCTCTGCTCACCGAGCCCACTCACTGGCAGCAAACCGCATCTGCCGTCGACTATATCAAGTACAGGGGCCGTGACACATTTCCGGCGCGCAAGGAAACCAAAAGCCGCGGGCCCGGAGACGACGAATTGCTTGTCTTGTCCCGCCGAACCCGACTGCATCTACTCGGCCAAGAAGATCTACCGGGACCGATGGCTACGAAAAGAGCGGGACACGGGCTGGCCACTGAAGATTGTGGTGCCGGAAATAGAGGACATCGTCGCCGCCAAAGGTTGGGACGCTGCCGAAGAGAGACTGATGGAGAAGCTCGGCGAAGACTACGTGAAAGGGAAGACGCCGGATGACATGATTGCTAGTAGGGGCTGGTATGGCCGCTGTGTCTATGAAACGGATAACGATGTTGTCGACAACCAGACGGTCACTTTGGAATGGGACGACGACCCTGTTCCTGGATATGAACTCGGTCGTGGGCCGAAGAGAGCCCTGTTCCACATGACCTATCCCACTCAAGCACAATGCGAACGTCGCGGTAGGATTTACGGGAGTCTGGGCGAAATCACCTACGATTCCCACACCATCACCGTGCACGCCTTTGCGAGCGGGGAAACGACCGTCCACGAGATCCCCAAGCAGGCGCCGGAAGTCGAAAAGAGCCATGGCGGCGGCGACTGGGGTCTCGCCGGCGCATTCGTCCGCGCCGTTCAGCATGTAGATGATGGCACGATGAGTGTTGCGCAGGCACAACGAGAGCTGGTTGGTTGTGACCTGGAAGAGATCATTCTCAGCCATGCCGTTGTTTTTGCCGCTGAAGAGGCACGCAGAGACAAGAAGGTCGTCGACTGGGCCGAGTGGTGGAGAACCAACAGTGGGCAGATGGTCGAGTGAGATATCGTCAATACGCAGACTCTATCGGTCCTGTTCTGTTTCATCCATCTGTCTACGATGGCGATGGCGATGGCGATGGCGATGACGATCAAGTGTGACGGCGTTACGAATGTTACGATTTCATGATTGACGACTCAGGATGAGAAATCCCCTGCGGCTTCAAATACATATACCAAATACACCAGAAACGGGTAATTACAAACCCGAAGAATGAATGTCTGGTCTTACATCAACCAACTATCTCCTGATGCTTCCTGTTCTCCTCTACCACATCGTCTGCACATCCTCCGAACATATTTTGTTTTATTCGACAGGCATGCTCTTTTCTGCACCGGTTACCGTGGAGGACCACTCACATTCCAACCGGCAATAGGTTTCCCAATCTGGACTGGACAACAAAGCCATGAAGTAAGCACGCCCATCCTCGACAAGGCGAGATGTTATCGCTATCGCTGGCCTTGTCGAATGATGCTTGCTTCCTCTCATGTCGCCGTTCCTGGTGTGAGATCAGATCGCTCGGTCTCGTCCATCACATCTTTCGCGCGGGTCGATTGATACTCGACACTCGACACTCGACACTCGACACTCGACACCAGCCACACCAATGTCTCTCCATCAACCCTCAACACGGCCGTTCCTGCTCGTCGTTGTTCTCGGTACGTCCACGTCCACATCAGCCCGTGACTTATTCACAGCGAAACCCATCAACGGCACGTATTTTTGTCCTCATTCTCATCCTCATCATCAACACACTCGCAGTCCCAAAACACATCCCAATCCGAATCCCTACCCAATCCCAAGTCTCTCCCCTGGCCCGAACAAATACTGTCTGCACTGCAAAGGAGAAGGGAACCCAATACAAATCACACTTCCATCGTCAAGGTATATACTATACTAACGTAAGATATCCATCTGGCATTACAGCGACTCTCACTCTTGCCACCGCCATCCCACATCCTCCATTCATCCCATCACCCACCGACCCAACCGGTTCGCAATACTGGCACTCCGCCCATCCAGCAGACGGACCTAGTCCCACTACTACCGCTCCCACCTCAAGTTCCAGCATCAACAACACCGGCCTAGGTACTGACAGCACCGACTGGTCATCCTCATCCTCAGATCCAGACACAACACTGCCAATAACGCTCCCCTCGAATTTCAACACAGTGCGCATCGCCCACGCCGTGTTCGCGTCGAGTGCGTTCCTGGTCTTCTTCCCTCTCGGCGGGATCTTGATCCGCATCTGCCACCCTCACCCTTGCATTGTGTGGATCCATGCGGCGATTCAGACGTTCGCGTACGTCGTCTTTGTCGTGGCTGCGGGGTTGGGGGTGTGGATGGCGAAGAAAGTGGATTGTGTAAGTGAGAATGAATCCTGGATTCTGCTCGATCGATGCCCGATACGATGTTCCTCTTTTAATTTTTGACCTTTTGACATTTTTGCGTTTGTGTTGCGTTGCGATAACACGTCGACGTGAGAGCACTGTTTCGCTTTGCAAGGTGTTGTCGTCGTATCTTCATGCCAGAAACGAATTGGAGATTCTTGGATGTGTCAGCATTTCCTGGTCTCATGTCAGTCAATGCTTCTTCAGGAACCACTGGATCTCCAGCCAGTTTCTGCACGATGGTATACAATAGCAGACAGATGTTCTGCACAAACCCGACACGACACAACCTGAGCAGAATGGCAAAGCTGGATTCAGCACACATTGGACTTGTCGAATACGTTGGTCTGGTGCAGGATACTTGGACTTGATACTTGATTCTTGATTCTTACTCCCCTGTTTTCTCATCCCGAGTCCCTAACATTTGTGTTGATGTCTGATATTGATGAGTCAAGTCATTCATTGCCCAAACATGTACTCAACGTGACTCTTGACATCCTTTCATCCTCTTCCCTCTGACAAGCTTGGTCCTTGACCCTTTGACATCCCTAATGTTTGGGTATCTGAGAACCAAGTTCGGGTCCAACATCACATCGCATATCACATATCCCTTTTCCCTATCCCATTATCCTTTTTCCACATCCCCTATCCCTTATCCCTATCACATATAGCTATCACATATCCCCCTTTCCCTCCTCCCTCTCATCAGTACACTCCTTCAAATCAAATCAAACCAATTCAAACTCAACTAACCATATCTCTCCTCTTCGAAAAAACCAGTTCCCGACATCCCACACCATCATCGGCCTCGTACTGCTCTCCCTCATCGCCCTAGTCCAGCCGACAACCCAATTCCTCCACCACCGCCTCCACCCACACCACCCCCGCCTCGCCGTCTACCTGGCCCACACACATCTCTGGCTCGGCCGGGTCCTGGTGACGCTCGGCATCATCAATGGCGGGCTAGGGTTTCAACTTGCCTCGACCTCTCCTGGGGTGGCGTGGTCGAGGGCGCCGAAGGTCGCGTATGGAGTTGTGGCGACGTTGGTGTGGATTGTCTATGTGGCTGTTTTGGCCGTTTGGGTGGAATTGGGGAGGGGAGAGTCTTGGTCGAGACAGATACTACTTGAGGATAGGAATGGGGATTCGGATTCAAGGCGGAGCCAGAGGGGGGGTCAGAGACAGACTCAGAGTCTGAGACTGAGACAGGGAAGTATTGGTGTGGAAGGCGATATTGAGTTGGATAGACTTGGTGATGACACTGGGTCAGAGTGTGGGAATGGTGCTGGTGCTGGTGCTGGAGCAAGGACAACAGAAGGAAAATGGGAAATGGGAAAGAAAGGAATGGCAGTGGCAGTGGCAGTAAGACCATCCCCTTAGCAACGAGATATACATTTGGATATATATAGTCGCGAGGAGCAGTGATTACGGGCTTGATATCCATTCTTGTACGAGGTTTTCACCTGGCTCGTTTCATTCCATTCCATTCCGATCAGCGAGAGACCGAAGACATGAGAGAGGGGACGAGGAGGAAGACGAAAGACATAAAGTACTCTTTCTTCTTTCTGCATTTATTTTATTCTTATTCTACCCACCCATCCTATTTGCATCGCTAACCGAAACGCGAAACATCCCATACACCTTCAAGTCCACCGTAACTGCTGCCAAACACAGCGAATCAACCTAACGAGGACAACTGCAACTGCACCGAGGGTAAGTAGCAAGTTTACCACGCAGTAATATCTCTCAATGCACAGGCATCACCACGTCAAAGGCACCAGTACCAATATTACCTCTCCGTCCAGCCACGATTCTGGCACTTGGACCCAACAGCGGATCGCTTTCGCCAAACAAGACGGCATCCTTGAGGAATCCCATGACGGTCTCGAAACTCATCTTGGCGAGGATGCTGCCTCCTTCTCGGACCAGCCCGTGGCGACTGAAGGGCTGGTAGGAGCCGGAATTGGTCATGGCGTCGGCGATCAGATTCAGATGTCGCGTGTCGACCGTGATGCCGTGGCCCTTGAAGACGCCGTCGATTTCCTTGATGATGGTCATGCGCGCGGCCTCGACCCCGTACAGCTTGAGCATGTCGTGCACCGAGTTGGTGTACAGCGAGTGCGGATAGATTTGGTCCTGGTAGTCGCGCATGGCGAGGAGGTTGACGCCTTCGGTGGTGATGACCGGCTCTTTGGCCGACTCTTCCTCCCCGGTCTCCTGGTTGATCTGCTTGACGGGCTTGCCGTCGGGGCCGTGGACCTCTTCCATAAAGAGTGTACACACGCCGAGGCCGGGGATGGATTGGATGACCGCGGCATGAACGCATTTCTCCAGGATCGGCAGGAGCAGCAGCTTGGGCGTGTTGGAGTCGTAGCTGAGCACGATACGGCAGGACTTGCCTGCGTTGCGGGCAAAGTTGAATCGTTTGAGGTGTGGCAGGTCGGCCTTGAGTCGGGTCTGTCGAGCTTCTTCTTCAGAGTCCATGTCTTCAGCCTCGTCGGTCTCCTCGGCGTCATCGTCGTCGGGATCTTGTTCACGCAGTGTTTGCGGCACTTTCGAGATCCGTCGCGACTTGCTCGGTTTCTTTGTAGGCGTCTCTTGCTCCTCGTCTGTGCTCATGGCTTCGTCGCCGGATTCGTTGGCAATGCCCTTCTCGTCGTCGTCAGGTTCGTCGTATGTGTCTTCCCGTCTACGTTGTGCGGCCGCGTCCTTTGCATCATCTGGGTCGGCATCTTCGTCGATGTCGTCCTCGCCGCCTTCTCTGTCTGTGGTCCGTGTTCGAGTCGGTCGGGCCTCTTCGACCACACCGACGGAAATACCAACAGCGGGGACGGCGGCAGTGGTTTCGGACAGAGAAGCCTCTCGAGCCTTCTTCTTGAACTCGTCTTTGATCATCTTGTCGAGTCGGGGCAAGAATCGCTTCTCGAAACATCGCTGAACGTCGGCACGTTGGATCGCATATTCCTCCTCGTACTCTGCCGGATCGTACAGGTCAATCCGAATGTCGAAGATCTTCTCATGCTCATAACCAGCACCACCACCCGCTCGTTCGGTCACCGAGAGCTTGTTGATGACATGCGCCAGTGAGAGACGGCTGATACTCTTCGCAAACCGCTCACCCTCCGCTTGGGTCAGCTCCTCAATGGGCTTCAAAGTCATCGTTGGGGTCATGATTTTGGCGCTGGCAGTCATGATGATCTCCCGCAACCGCGGAATACCCAGGGTGACGTTCTTGGCTGAATGGCCCGCCAAATGGAAAGTATTCAGTGTCATCTGAGTGGACGGCTCTCCTACCGACTGGGCGGCCACAACGCCAACAGCCTCACCAGCGTCCACAATGGACTTCATGTACTTCAGATCCATGATCGACTGGAACGTCTTCTTCGAGATGATGCCACCAGGGTTCGTCTTCTTGTCTCGGATCAGCTTGTGAGGGTTCTCTTTCACATAGGCGTTGACAGCTGCGGCGAAGGATTCTGAGGTGCTGCCAAAGTGGCTTGCGGGGGTGAACAAAGCCGTCAGGGGGTCCTTAGCCTTCCCTTTCTTGATGGATTTGAAGATGTCCTTCTGTTCGTCCGCTAGATCCAGATCTGGCTTCTTGATCTTTTCAAGCACCTCTTCCGCTTTCATCAAGGTGGCTACCGATTGCTGGTTTTCAGCGAGGAATGTAAACTCCTTGAGATGCTTTTGTTTCGTGACTTCAAGCCCGTCTTCTCCATAGAGAAACTGGATGACGTTGCCATTCGAGCTTTCTCGCACAGATGTATCGTATTCGGTACGAAGTCCTTCGAGACCCTTGACAATGCAGCGCTGCAGGTAGCCGGATTTGGACGTCTTGACTGCCGTATCGATCAACCCTTCTCGACCGGACATTGCGTGGAAGAAGTATTCTTGAGGTCTGATGCCGGTCAAGAATCGCCCGCACACGTATCCACCAGCCACAGGATCGGTCTCGTATGCGCGGAAAGAGGGCAGAGTCTTGCCACTGACCATGACAGGCACTCTTCGACCTTCCAGCACCTGTTGACCCAGATTGCAGGAAATCAAGTTTGCATTGACGCTGGATCCTTTAGCACCGGAGATGGTCATGGCCTGCATCTGGTTGCGTGGGAATGGCTTTCGAAGACCCTTGGGCAGACAGAACTTGGACACATTGTCAGTGATGGACTTGACTTTGGCCTTGTAAAGCTGATCCAGGCCGTTGAGCTGATCGTCGTTACGGACGACATTTTCCAGACGACTGATGAGATCGGGGTCTTGTTCGTCGATTCCGTCCGCCTTCAGCGTGACGTACTCGGCAGAGACTTCAAACCCAATTTGCTTAGCTCTGGTGAGCTCTTCTCGTCGTTTGCGGTCGCCTTCAGGGGTCAAGTAGAGATCATCCATTCCGCAAGTCCAAGCCCGCTCATTAAGGTATCGTGTAAGCAGGCGACCGAGTATACTCAGCAGCTTACCGGCAGTGATGTGGCCGTAGATCTCGTGGACGGAGTGAATGAGGCCTCCAGCACTCGGTCCCAGTTGGTTTTTATCGAGGATACCCGACAAATGCTCTCCGTCTCTGAATATCACCACCTGTTCAGTGTCGCGGAAGACAATGCTGTCTTTAGTCACGGTCCATTTTTCCGGGTCGTTGGATGTCTTTTCACCCCATTGCTCGGCCGAGGTGGAAGATTTACTGGACAAGTTGAGACCATGGAATCGGTCAGGGGTGATGTTCTTCAGAACAGTCGTAATGACCTGTTTTCCAGTCCACAACATTCTCGGTTTCAGAACGGCAGGCTCTACCATTTGGATCTTCTCGTAGACGGTGTTGTAATCCTCCGGCCTGAGACAACTGTATAGCAACTGCTGATATTGGTCTCGGTCGAAGAAAATATCCCGACTTGTAAACTGAACGCCCATGGAGATATGATCCTGAATCAAACCTCGCAGCGGCTTTCCTGCAGTGGCAGAGAGATACTGGTGATCAGTGTCGGCAATCTGCAGCGCTTCTGTCCGTGCAAGCTCATTCTGTGGAAAATGCATGTTCATCTCGTCACCGTCGAAATCGGCATTGTAGGTGTTACAATTGGCGTAGTGCATGCGAATGGTTTTCTGGTTCGTCAGCACACGGGCTCGGTGACCCATCATGGAGGGTTTGTGCAATGTGGGTTGTCGATTCATGACGACCACATCCCCTGTCTGCAGGTGCCGGTAGACTTTCTTTCCGGTATCACCCTTTGCGCCAGGAACCGTAGAAGTCATGAGTTGCTTCGCCAAAGCCTTGCGTTGCTCGAGTGTCTTGCGCTTCAGGCTGAGGACCATGCCATTCTCGTTCTCAATTGCAGCGGCGCCAGGGTATTTGTCCATACCGTTGATCACCGCCTTGCTCAGCTCCTCGAAGTTATGACTCGTGACTGGCTCCGGGTAGGTAAGCTTCTTTGCGAAGACAAGGGGCACGCCGATCTCGTTCGTCTCGATGTTGGGGTCGGGAGAAATGACACTTCGTGCAGCAAAGTTCACCCGCTTTCCCATCATATGCATCCGGAACAGGCCTTCCTTTTTCTCCAACACCTGTTTGATACCTTGGTCCGTGGGCTTGCCAGAAGCTGGCGGGGGTGAATCTATCAGGGCATTGACCGTCTCTTGTAGAACGATCGCAGCCTGAATGCTGTCGTTCAGGGTGCGAGGGCGCACCGAGTCGTCGGTTTTGGCTCTCTTCATGTCGCGAAGAATACCTCGGACGTCGTTCGCAGCTTTGATGATCTTGTTCAGAACACCGTTGGCCTGTGCTTCGAGCATCTGATCAGGTCCCTGCCTGGCGAGAGGGCGGAAACGGTTCGGGGGGACAAGGACGGCGGTCATGAAAAACATGTCTGGCGAGACCGACGAGTGCTTGCGACCTGGATGAGAGGCGTACATGAGACTGAGCACTTCCTGCTCCCGGTCGAACAAGAGAGTCAACGCCGCGTGCACCTCGTTGGACGTCATGTATGACTGCACGTCATCTTCGTCCTCCAACTCGGCGTTCTTCGACTGCGCAGCCGTCTCCAACGCGTTTCGCATCGCAATCTCTTCCTCGGCGCCGTGCGCTTCTGAAGCCTCGGCGTCGGCAGCATCAGACATGGCAACATCTTCATCGTGCACCCCGTTGCTCAAGGGTTTCTTGATCTTCACTTCCTCTTTCTGCGCCCTTTCCGACTGGAGGAAGATCAGCGGATTCGGGGCTTTCCTTCCCATCACACGCATTTCTTCCTTCAACCTCAACGCCAATGGTTTCTTGAAGATCTTGACATTTCGATCCTTTCGGTACGTATGGGCAGCGCCGCCACAGTTCGCACACTTCTTCAAGTGAGGCACCTCTTTAAGAAAATCCGCGATGACGGCCTTGCGACCGGCGATTGCCACGGGATTTCGAATTAAGGCCTGCGAGTCGATCAGGCCCTTCCTGCGTGCTCTTTTGATTGCCTTGTTCGTGGCTTTGGTTCGGCGGTCGATCAGATCGTCAATCTCCTCCTCGTCGTCGTTCTCCAGTATGTCTTCGACAATGTGGTCCGTCTTTGGCCTCTTGACCTTCTTCCCACCTAGATGCATGGCCTTGATGTTCTGGTGTTCTTCCACGAGCCCATATTGCAGTAGTCGTAGAGCGCAGACGGTCTGATTGATGTAGTTGGGCGCTGCCTTGAAGCGGTGACAGTATGCGCATTTGGCGCGTAAAAGCCGTAGAGTCGAGTCGATATACTGAGGATGGTAGCAAGGCACGGGAAGCTCAATGTGTCCGCAATGGCCGGCACAATGGATGGCATTCATGCGACAAGTGGAACAGCTGTAACAAGCGTTAGTCAAATACAATCTGCCATGCGAGCCTCCTTGATTCTTACTTCGAGTCCAATGCCTGTATGGCCCCCAGAGCCAGGTCGTGGACACCACCTGGTATAGGGCCAAACATGGAATCCAGGGCTGGAGTGACATGAATCTGTTTGACCGAGATCTTTCTGATCTCGTCGGAGGGCAGGCGAGAAAAGGCCAGGCCGCCGGTGGCCGACGACAAGGGCTTGTTGTTTCCTGCCATTGCACTCCACGATGCCACAGCCAAGCAGCCGAGAGAGATTCGACTGCAGTAAAGACTCGGGAAAGAGTAAGAAGAATGGACCGCAACTCGAACCGTCGACAACTTTTTTTCCGGCCTGCGGGGATTTCAACTTCTTGTTGCTGGAAAGTTTTTGGAGGCAGGCAGGCATTCGGATTATAGTTGTTCCGTTGCCGAGGAAAATAAACTCCGCAGGCACGTTGAATTCACTGTAACCACAACTGACAACGACACTCCTCAGGCGTCTTTCTATTTCTTACCACAGAATATCTTCACATCCACTGGCCTTGAGTTTAGGCGCTGCTGCCACTGCGGCTCCTGGCTTCGAGTGAGTTCGTATTCTCGAACAACTTTAAAAGATGGCCGACCGCTCGAGCAATATGCTGAAAAGGCCACACGCGGAAGAGAATGATCTCGAGAGCCAGAAGCGGGTCAGATCCAACGATGGCTCGCCTCGTGCTGCAACACCGGGGTCAGCGACGCCTGGCACGAAGCCCGACGTGAACCAAATGCTGGCGGCTGCCAGAGCGAGAGCGGAAGAGTTGAAGGCCAGACTGGCAGCCAATCGTCCTGGAGCGACAGGTTCACCGGCACCGCCTACACCCAGTGCGAGTGACCGGATTGCTCAATTAAAGGCTCGCGTGGCTGCGGCGACGAGTCGCTCGGCTGCACTGAGTTCGCAAAGACCAAATACTCCCACGACGAGCAGCTACACTCCGCCGACGTTCAGCGATGATACTTCACGGGCCCGTGGAGGCCTGGATGTCGGGCTGCACCCTGCGCTGCTCGGCGACATACATCAAGACATCCAGCGAAGTAAAGGCCGGACACCTCAACCGAAGTTCGCGACGGCTATGGGGAACCAGAGGACAGGATTTCCCGGTTCGGAGAGAGCGCAGTTGGACCTTTCAGCGCCGTCGCTGGACGAACTAAAATCCAATCCATATTTCGACCCCAGTCTGGGCACGCGCAATGTGATCCCCAAAGAGCGACATTCGCGACAGTTGATCTTCAATGAGAAGGGGAAGTACATCCAGCAAGCGGCGGCGCTGCGGCGGCAAGCGCAGCTGGAGGCGATGAAGAAGAAGATTGCCGAGCGGGCAAGACAGGCCGGGCTGGAGGAAGACATGGACACAGACAAGGCGTTCCTAGTCCCGGCTCCGCCGGAGATCGAATGGTGGGACGAAGGACTGGTGGACGGCAAGTCCTACGACGTGATAGACGACCCGTCGAAGCTGAAGATCGACACGCCAGACTCCATCATCACAATCTATATCCAACACCCCGTGCTGATTGAGCCGCCGCAGGAGAAAAACGCTCCGACGCCGAAGCCCATGTATCTGACCAGCAAAGAGCAGGCGAAACTGCGCCGACAGCGCCGCATGGCCGAGTTGAAGGAACAACAGGCCAAGATCCGACTGGGCTTGGAGCCGCCGCCGCCACCGAAAGTCAAAAAGGGCAATCTGATGCGCGTCCTGGGCGAAGAGGCCGTCAAGGACCCGACGGCCGTGGAGGCGCGCGTCAACCGCGAGATCGCCGAGCGCGCCCACAAGCACGAGGAGACGAACGAGGAGCGCAAGCTGACCAAGGAGCAACGCCTCGAGAAGCTGGAGCGCCAACAGGCCGAGGACGCCGCCCACGGCATCCACGTGCGCGTTTACCGCATCGACAGCCTGGCCAACGGCAAACACCGCTACCAGATCTCCGTCAACGCCGACCAGAACAAGCTGACCGGCGTCGTCATCCTGCATCCGAAGCTGAATCTGGTCGTCGTCGAGGGCGGCGAGCACTCCATCCGCAAGTACGACAAGCTCATGCTGCACCGCATCAAGTGGCAGGAGATGGAGGCCCCGCGCGCCGTCGAGGAGGGGAACCGCGAGGAGCTGGCCAAGTGGCTCGAGGCCGAAGACGAGAATGGCGAGCTGAAGGATCTGAGCTTCAACAAGTGCGACCTCATCTTCAGCGGCCAGGCCAAGCAGCGCAATTTTCGCAAGTGGTTGGGCGCCCGCGTCTGCGAGACGGATGCGCAGGCCAAAGACGTCCTGACTCGCGGCAAGATGGAGAGTTTCTGGAACTTGGCCAAGAGCTTCAAGAGGGAAGTGTGAAGTCCAAGTACAAGTCAGATCAGACATTACTAGACTATTCTTCTGCTTGTATGCAAATCCTGAAGCAGCCCATGCGTGCTATAGTATTCCAAACCAATACGCCGGCCTGCAAGTCGGTTAGGCCTCTTACTCTGGCTTCCAAGGGGAGCACGTCTGTACCAGTCGGCTTTGCTTACTGAAGAGCGAACTGGACCTCACAGAAGATCAAAACAGAAACAATATGAGAAATCCCTCAACCGAGGATGAGAGAGAAAGACATGGACTCGAAGAGCTGTGCTTTCGTAGAGTTGTATAGCATATACAAGTACATCTCTGCGTTCGCGCCGCATCCTCTCATCGATAACCTTCATAGCAAGCATGATCGTAGCCCTGCCGGTGAGCAGACGAGAAAGGAAAACACACAAATAGAGACAAATCCCAAAGAAGAGAAAACATGATATATAGTGAAAAGTATGTGCAAGACCTCTATAGACACGTCAAACTCCCTGGCTTTTCGAGACAACGCCGGGAACACCAAACAGCCTGCTTGACAGCAACCAGCAGGAACCAAGTATCAGCCTATATATAACCGAACATGACACGATGAAAGTGGTCCAACTCCTGCTCCTTCAGCCGCTGTTCTTGCCTCTCTTACCTCCTTTGCCCTCGTGCCCTGCTAAAATCACCACCCGGGGTAGCAGAGATCCAGGAGGAACTCATAAAATCCAAACATCAACCTCCAGCCTTATTCTTCGAGTTTCAGGTCTTGCGCTCATTTAGGAGGCATTCAACTTCTTCGCAGCGGCCTCCAGAATCCCCGCCACCTTCTCAACCTGGTGCTGCGCCTCCACCCAGTCCGCGGCATCGATGGCATCACGGATCCCCGGGAAATAGGCTTCATCGTAGCCCGACCAGGCCTGCGGTGCGAAGAGGACATGCTTGAACTGCGTGCGGTTGGCGAGGCCGCCGCCCTCGCTCAGATCGAGAAGGTCGGTTTCGAAATGCGCCATGCGACTGTTATGTTGGCCGCGGGCGTTTCCCATGGCGGTAGTTTCAAAGCCGCCTGCACCAAAGACAAAGTTGCGCCAGGTGTTGTCGAATAGGTGGAACGTGTCGGCTTCCTGGGCGAACAGGTCCGAAGCTTCACGAAGAGGGGCGAGGTTCACGGGGTTCTGGTCATTCGCGGTCGGGGCGGACTTTGCATAGGTGTCCAAGTCTTCGATGTATTTCGAGATGTCTTTTGCGTATCCGCTCAGGTCGAATGGCAATAATGGCTTGTCCGCCAGTTCGAGGATCATCAACGCCAAAATCTCGCCCATGGTTTTATGGTATTTCCAGTCCGGATCACCGAATTTCGACATCCACTCGAAATTGTCGTAGCAGCTGTGATAAGGGAATTTCGGTCCCTTGAAGGACATGTCGATCGACGAGGTGCCGGCGATATCTTGGAAGGCGACATAATCGCTTCCCGCACCCAGCCCTTCCAGGCCACGATTGGATTCATCCCAGATCTCACGGATCGTGTGGCCCGTGTCTGGATCGCCGACCCGGTCGAGAACATGTTCCAGCATTCGTGCGAAAACCGGCGATGCTGCTGCATGGAAGTCGGTGCCTGTGACACCGACGTCAACATTGACATAGGCCACCGCGTCTTCGCGAAGCTCGGCTAGACGATCCTCGACATGCTCTGTGCTCCCGATCAGATTATACTCTTCACCATCCCAGCTGGCGAATTCAATGGTTCGCAGTGGTCGCCATCCGAGTTTGCGCAGCTCGCCAAAGATGCGGATGACTTCTAGCATGATTGCCGTTCCACTGCCGGGATCGGCGGCACCTGTACACCAGGCATCCCGGTGGTTGCCCACGACAACTTTGTTTTTGGGTTCTTCCCAGCCTGTAATCTTACCGAGCACGTTGTAGATCGGCTGCCGCACCTCCTCATCCTGGATGTTTTTGAGGTTGACCCTGGGTGAAGTCTGATCCCCAGTCCAGTATTCTGTGTTTGGGGTACCCTGCCAAGTATCGGTCATTTGCTTGCCATGGCCCTTGATCGCTTCCAGCAAGTGTTTCGCATCATTCCAGGATATCGGAATCGAGGGAATCCGATTGAGTCCGGGGCTGTCTTCCGGATTCAACCGTTCTTGGTTCGAAGGAGTTGAAGCCCAGCCCGGGGTGAGTACATCTCCCACCACCCAAGACATCAGACTGACGGCTCCACGCTGGACACCGTCTTCCGGCATAAATCGACCCTCCGGAAATGTTGGGCCCACAACGAAGCCGTCTTGTGCAGGATCCGAGTAAATGATGCAGCCAGATGCGCCGGCCAGCTCGGCAGCTTTGACCTTCAGCGCGCGGTCGCCTTCAGAACCGTAATACCGAACAAGGACAATCGCATCTTTGACCGAGATTCCACTCTCGGCCAGCGTCTTGAAGTCGGCCCTGGAACCAAAGTTGGCGTACACCAGAGGACCAGTCACATCGCCGCTTTTCGAATGCCCGTGGAAGACGTACGATTGTTCTTGATCCTCTTCCACCCTGGCCTCCCATTTCAAATCTTCGGGTTCCACGATTGCGACTCTCCTCCCGTCTTTCCGGGGATAGTTTAGATAGACATCAAATCTTTCCATGTTTACGTCTTCCAGGTCTGAAGATTTGAAGAGCTCGGCCACCCATTCTCCAAGAACATAATTGCCTTCGGTACCCGCCACATGCGGAAAGTCCGTAATGTGCTCCAAGTATTTCTGCATGTGACCATGCCCGTTCATATGCTTTTGTACGAATACTCGCACGGATTCCGGGTCATACATCTGACCTATGCCCATTCTGTTCTTGGTAAACGACAAGACGTCGGAGGCTATCAGGGCGTACAGAACGCCCATGATCAGAAAGACACCAAACAATCGTCCGATAATGACGACGCGGTTCGCCTCTAGCTGCTGGTAGTTGATCCGGGGCCATGCCAACTTCGAGAGGTACTGGCGGAAGGAGGGGAGGGAGAGCGAGGAGAAGGAATTGGTGAAGCTGGAGAAGCGCTTGGAGAGCCGGTATCGAAGAAGGGATCGGGTTGCGGCGGCATCGCTCTGAGGATCTTCAATCTCCATTTGTTCCATCTCCCTCCGCACTTCGTCTTCGCCATCGTGTTCAATGCCATCGAGCGAGTCTAGACTCGGCCGGACAGACTCGATGGTTGGTGGTTGGTAATTGCCGTTCGACCCAGGGCGGAGGAGACCTTGCCGTTCGGCATCGTCGCTGATCTCTTCGGGACCGAGTCGCGATTGCGAGGAAACCGGCCGAGATGAGGTGGCCTCCTCATAGGTAGGGATGGGCAGGTGTTCGTAGCGGACCTTTTCGTCAACCATCGTTGATGGGGGAGTCTGGAGTGATGTCCCGAAGGACGCACTCGCAGTCGAGTTATCGGGGATGCATCCAGAGCGGAGTGTCGCTGCGACTGGAGGATAGTTGGACGGTGAAGATGGTCGATATGAACAATCCGCGAATACGACGACAGCAAGGATGAATACTGCTGCGGGGGGACAGAAGTGGTCTGCTCCTGGACGGCGACTGTCTTCAGTTGCTGTACGTACTGGCAATTAACTGGTTGCGAGAGGCTGCGGCTGCGGCTGCGCCACTCGAGATTCCGAGTCTCGGCTGAAGAACGGACCAAGCCAAGGACAGACGACGATACACCTCCATACTAGTATTCACGAACCACCACTATCACCACCATATCCGACCACACTGCTTGCGTAGAAGCTAGAGTCGATAACTACCATTTAGATTCCTGGCGCCTTTACCCAGGCTGCAAATTGGAAGACAATGTCGATAACTCGCATGTTGGTGGTTGTGACGGACTTGAAGAGAGGGCATATGTCGAAATAAGTGATGTCAGACAGGCATTTTCTATTTCTGCTTGGCTGCCTGTCCGTGTCATTTCCGGCTCATCTTTCACAGAATTAATCGGTCAGACCAACCACTATCATGTACTATACTACCTAGTGGTAACTCTACGTCTAGAGGCTCGAACACCTCGTCGACTCTTTGATCTCGAACTCTACCATTCATCCCTAACACCTCCACGAATCGATCTTCTCTCACTTTCTTCTCAGCTGAAGTAGTAACAACCACTGCATCAATCCCTGAAGGCCAAGAAATCTCTACAACCATGTCAGAAGATCAATCCCATGACGCCGCCGACCCTGACGCGGCGATGCGTGAAATGATGGGATTTGGTTCCTTCGCGACTCGCCGGCCAAAAGAGCAACCTCGTAAGTCACGTCGGTCCAAGCTGTCTTTCGTCTGTTTGTCTCTCCCTTACGGAAGTCTTGGTGTCTCCCGCCCTTCATGCCCGCTGTTCACATCCTTTTTTGCGTTAGAATTGCAACTGGTATGATATGTTCCGTCAAGCTATTTTGACCGGGATCAGAATCGCCGAATCAGTGACATCCCCCCGATATCTGAGACTGATTCACAGCCACGTCTCCTTTGGTCTTTAAGGCTGACTCGCGCCCTGATCTCCGGGCCTCAAGCTGCTGACCATGTCATCTTGTCATCCCTCCCCTGCACCGCGAGAGCAGTACAAATCGTGGGGAACTATCTAACGGCGTCCAGAAAAACCAATCCTCCAAAAAAGAGGGCACTCGACCACACAATCAATCCAACCTGAGCCAACATCGACTTTACCTGAAGCACAATTCCAAAACCCCTCGCTCACTTCAAAGTCCCGTCCAAATGTAAACGAAGATGAAGATGAAACATCCACGCAAGCAGCACAGCAGACACCCGCCATTCCCTCTCCGTCTTCATCGCGCCCAGCACCAGCACCAACACCGACATCGACATCGACAGAACAATCAACTTACGCCTTTTCATACCCGGCCACCAACACATTCTACACCCGCGCGCAACTAAATGAATGGGCTCAGGGTAAAGTCAACGCGAGAGGGGACACGGTGTACTTCAGACCGAATTTCGTATCTGATGATCCTTGGGCAAGACTCAGGACGCAGAAGACGAGTCAATGAAGCAGAGCAAGCAGCATGACCTAAAGAAGTTCTTCTGCTGAGGAAGACTAGACGTTGGACGACCTGGCCCTGGTGTGTTTTGAGAATGACACTCAAGAGTGACGGATCAGGGCGATCTTTACCAAGCCTGGTCAGAGTCGGATGAGATATGATATCAAGACCGAAGAGTGCCAGCACGTCTGGGTCCGCAACCGAGCTTGGAACATGAAGGGAAGGACAGAATACATCCCACGCCTCTCCTATAACGCCGAATCTGGCCTGATGGTTCTTGTTCGACGCCTTCTCCAAATGGCTATTCATTTGAAACGAATCACTCCGTCTATCTGTCCATGTGTAGACAATGATTATCCAGCCGACCGGACACAGCGCCGTCAATATCAATGTCTCCTTTCATGAGACAGTCTTACGCCCTGGCAGGTTCAACCAACAACAGCTTGACCATGACCAGTGCAACCCGGTACTGTGGAGCGTCTTTATTCACAGTCCCATGCCAACGGCAACTCTGGCCGAGATCTCATACAGCACCCATACCATACCTGCCTTTGCCGACATGGAGCATTTCACTCAGCAATGGGGGATATGTGAGACCCTCTCGACCTGCAAGTCTGACAGATATTGAATATCGAATATCAGATATGAGATAACAGACCTCGGATGCCAGATGCCAGTTTGCAAACACGCAAAGGATTGTATCTACCAACCAAAGACTTCCTTCCAGGAGCCCTGCAATGCGCGCTGACCAGAAACTGAGAGCCCAAGAGCATACTGCAAGGCTGTACGGATCAAGAATAAAGCACAGTCATAGTCACAGCAGCCCTAGCAGACCAACTACGTCGCTGGCTTTGCCTCGAATTCATCTACTATTGCTCTATCTGTCTCTGTCTCTGTCTCTGTCTCCAATGTCCATCTATTGTGTTATCCGGCCTACCCAATACCTGCCAACTTCCAAGGTAGTCATACTAGACCCTGGCAGCTAGCTGACACTATATTTTTTTGGGTCTAATACTCCCAGAACCATACTCTCCCTGCCCTCATGTGAGCTTCAAGTTACTCACTGTTACTCTCTTGACGTCCTCTTCCCGTCCTTCTCCCTGCCACTGTCCTTCTCATTTTCTCAACTTTCTATCTCTCTATCATTCAGTTTTGCTGCCTAATGTAAATATATATATGCAAGCTCGTATATCTAGTGTCACGGACGCACAAACCACTTACCTCTACACCTTGTCCCTTATCCGTGAGCCTGGAATACAACCAACCTACTTCATATCCACCCTCCTCGCCTCCATCTCCTGTCCTTTTCCCGAAATCGGGACTGGCCAACAATCAACAGCCAACTAATACCAGCAGACTCGGCACCGAATCTTGCAAGACCTCTCCGAAGCCGATTTCCGTTTCCAGACCTGAGCTTTGAGCTTGAAGCCATGAGCATGAGGGAGGATGCTGGGGACCAAGTCTGGGCACCAAAGCGTCCCCAACACTGGTGACTGGAGCAGAAGTCGAAGTTATACATGGTGACATCGATGTTGGTGTATCATATGAATCAAAGTGGCCTCGGCATGACGTCCACGTCCATATCAATATCAACATCAACGACGAGCCCCGTGCTGTGGGCGGTCCTGACTCAGGACTCCGGAGAATCTTCGTCGTACATGAAATCCTGCTTCCCCAGAATCAATCGGACGTGCGTTCCTCCGCGATCCAAGCCCACGCACGGGTACAGACGGCCTGGAGGAGAAAAGTCCCCAAATGCAGGTGCTTTATTAGGTCGAGAAGGATGCAGTGTTAGCGCCAGGTGCCGAAGAACGATCACCTCGATCCACATGGGAAGGAGGACAAGGGCTTCGTGAGGGATGGACACTCACGCAGCCGCTTCCCGTTCTTGGTGAAATACACCGTCTGCTCCTTCGGTATGATACAACAACCCACCTTGTCGCCTTTCCCAAAGCCCTCGGCGTAGGTTCTGCTAACGAGGCCGCTACCATGGTACAACTCTCCATCGTCTCCATGGTAACCCCAAGAGTCATCATTCCAGCCTGGCAGACGATCCAGTTTGGGGTTGTCCTGACAGAGTCCTATGACGACGCCACTGTCGCAAGGCAGGAGGGCGTCTTTGTCAGCCTCACGATTGAACAATCGAGATGACACGAGCGATTGGCAGAGGGGAGGTACCCACCCGTCATCCTCATCCTCAGCATCGACAATTTCGATTCTCGCTGACAGGCCAGGTGTAGCGGACTTCGAGATCGTCGATCGAGGGCATCTTTCTTGGCGTCGTACTTTAAGAGCTCCCTGACAATCTCGACGTGGCCATCCTGAGAAGCGTAGTGTAGAGGACGACGAAGCTCGTTGTCAGATGCATTTGGATCGGCGCCAGCCGCGAGAAGAGCTGTTACCACCGACCAGTGTCCGGCTTCAGCTGCGTCATGCAATGGAGTGCACTCGTACCTATCAGTGGCAGAAATCTTAGCCCCATTGCCGAGTAACATCCCCACGACATTGAGGCTCCCTTCCCTTGAGGCAAAGTGCAACAAACTCCGACCGAAGTCATCGACAGCATCCAATCTAGCGTGTGAGTTTAGAAGCTCTTCAAATAGTTCCACGTCTCCGCTCAGAGCTGCCAGATGAAGCGGCGTGGTACCCACATCATCGGTGAGATTCACGAATTCGTCGTCCTCTAAAGAATGTTGAGTTTTGTGAAGGAGCCACTTGACCACAGCCAACTGGCCTTTTTCACAAGCAACGTGAAGAGGAGTGCGGCCTTCTCTATTGGTAGCAGTTGGGTCTGAACCTGACGTGAGGAGCATCCTCACAACTGGCAAAGACCCCTGTCGACTAGCCAAATGCAACGGCGTCTCTTGGTCCTCATTCAATATATCGGTTTCGGCTTCGGCAGCGAGAAGGATTTGCACAATTTCCGTGTGGCCCTTTGTTGCGGCCAGATGCAAAGGAGTCGAATCTGATCCGTCAAAGATGTCCAGAGAAGATGAATAATATTGAAGAAGCGACTTCACCACAGCTACATGGCCGTGGAGGGCAGCCAAGTGCAGGGGTTTTGACAAGAAATCATTTCCAGCCTTTGATTCCTCCTCCTTCGCCTTTAAGAGCGCATTGACGACGTCCAAATGACCTTTTTCGGCTGCAAGGTGTAGAGGAAGACATCTGTGGTTATCTTGCGCGCTTGCATCTGCCCCTACCTCGAGTAGTAACTTCACCACTTCACCATGTCCTTTTTGAGCCGCTCTGTGCAGTGGTGTCTTACCTTCCCAATGCTTGCATTCGAGAATAGCGGGTCGGTGCTTTAGATGAGAAGGTAGGTTTCCTATAAGCATCTGTGCGATCTCGACGCGCCCAGAATCTGCTGCAAGGTGCAAAGGCGTTTCGTCTTTGTCATTAAAAGAATCCAAAGCGACGACATTCAGTAGCTCTTTGACTGCGCCTGGTTGCTGCGACTCAATAGCGACATGCAAAGGAGTAGAACCATGCTTATCTGTTCGTAGAGGATCAGCTCTGGCTTTCAGAAGGCTCCGGATGACGTCCACATGCCCAAATAAGCTCGCCAGATGGAGCGGTGTGGCATCGTCTTTATCAGCTGCGTGAATGTTTGGCTTCTTTTGCAGCAACAGATCTACCACCCGACAGTATCCCTTTCTTGAAGCGATGTGCAAGGCAGTGGCACCTAGCGGATCCGTTGCTTCCACGCTTGCGGCATGGTCGAGGAGCTCTCTCACAACCTCGATACTCCCATTCGAGGCTGCCATGTGAAGGGCAAGTGTACTGGACACATCGGACTGAAGGAGCGGTTTGACGATATTTTTGGAGCCTTGGTAGGCAGCAACCTCCAGTGCAATCGAACGCGACTTTTTGTCTCCCGTGGATGTTGAGAGTAACTTTGCAACAAGTTCGGCAAACCCAAATTCCGCTGCGATTGGCAGAGGATCCATGAAAGAGGCAGACCGACGTCTAGCCGGGTTCTCTAGGGACCACGAAAACCGAGACCAGTTTTGCATCAGGCTCTCGTTCGACAGAAACGAGTAAACTGCGTCTAGTGTCGGTATATCATTTTGCACCAATTGATAGTGTGCAGGCCAGTACTGAACAGCATATACCAGCAGATCCTGTACATCGCATCCGGAGAGCGGCAAAGCTTTTGGCCCATTTTGGTCAGTTCCTATCTCAGGTTTCTTCATTATGGAAAGGTAGTTCAGACAGGTTTGCGTGATATAACCGTGGCCTTTGAATGGCAATGTGAAGTGATCTGGCCAAGTTTTGGCTTGACCCTTGAGCAAAAAGTCTTGGAACGAATTATGGAGGAAGTAGGCGGCTTCGTTCTCGATCTTGATCAAGGGGCCAAACGTCCGTTTTAGATCCAGAGCAATGTCTTGTGAGATTCCACTCCGGATGGACTTCAAGTCCGTAAGCGTGGGTTCAAGAGCCGCAGCGGTAGCTAGCTCGTGGATTTTGAGGGGCCGACACGCAAAAAGGACCCAAGAAACGACCTTGTGTGCCCACGCGGCTCTTTGCAGAGGAATTCGACTGACGAACCGTTGATATATCTCGTCTGTTGTATCTGGAAGCGAAGCCAACTGCTCGCATATCGAGACAGTCGTTGACGGAAGGTCGGACGTCTCAAGTAAAGCCAGCTTCAAAGAAATGATGAGCTTCGAATTGCCTTTGCGCTTTAGTGATTGCTCGAGATCGGACTTGAACATGCGGAACGCGGGGTTCCTGACCACGAACTCTGATGCTTCATCTTTTGCAGCCAACTCGAGGAGCACGCTGTCTTTAGCCAGGGTATCTAAGTCAATGGTCGTGGACTCGGACGGTGCGGTCCATGTTGATTCCGAGCTCGGTGTGGTCCTGGTGACGACGATCTTGAAGTGAGGTCCCAGTGATCCTGGCAGTTCGAGTAGATCTTTCAGAAGGTGATCATCCGAAGCGTCACATTCGTCAATGGCATCTATGACACAAACAGTTGTGCCATGAAGGGAACACGAAACTAACGATCTGAACAAGACCCATAGTTTGTCGACTGTCCAGTTCGCCTCTTCACCCACCATACTGCAGAGATAGTGAACATGGTCGAAGAGCTCTGGTTTCCGGGACAAAAGCTGGTGACAAAGAGAAGCAAGCATTCTGTATGCGGAGCGGTGGTGTTCGTCCTTGGAATCGAATGAGAATGACAGGCTGTGTCGAAGCTAACATGACAAATATGAAGCTAATACAGACTTACCCGAACCTGGGTGGCCTTGTAGTTGAAGGAGTCCAGGCCCGGATCCTGTAAGCCAGGATGTATAGTCCTTGTTGCCCTCGATCCAACGATATGTTTCTCCCTTTGGTATCTCCGTTATTGGGAGATAGCTCTTGCAGTCCAGAGATTCCAAGGTTTTCAAGATGTGGACGTGGCGAGGTACTAATGGTCATACTATAATCAGCATTCTGTATTCGACAGATGAGATGGTAGTGTTGTTGCGGGAAAGCCTCATACCAGAAGACTGATATATTTTCTCACGAACCAGTTTGAAAGCTCGATCTTCTGAGTTTGAGAACTTGCAAAGATCGCCATGGGGACCTTGACGGGCGATTTTGATTTCACTTGAAGTTCCAAAAGTTGCTGAATCACTCGGATTTGTGCTGGCATGGCTGACGAGACCCTGGGAGGATAGTTAGGCCCAAACTTTGACAGAGAGAACCGCCATGTGGGCGCGGACATGGAGAACACCGACCGTCGGCGTGTTGTCATCAGCTTCCTCTGCTTCATAGACATTTAGTGTCGCGTATATTCCCGCGATGCTTCCATATTCTTTGCTCAGATGTGCCAGCGCTTCCCCGGAGGTTTCAAGAATCTTTGAAAGTTGACCTCGGTACTTGCGACGATGAGATAATATCAGGCGGGCCGCGAGACTTTCCCACTCCGGAGGGTCCAGGGCTCTGTGAGGACAACCGAAGAAGACCTGGGACGAGGACATGACAATAAGTATATGCAAAACAGATAAGAGTATCCCCAGGGATCAGAGCACAACGAAGCTTTCCAAAGCAAGCACATACAATAAGTGAGGTTCTTTCCACAATTGGCTGGTATTCTGACCGAATGCTCGAGAGCAAAAGAGCCTGTTTCAGTAGATGGAGCGATGATGGTCAGTAGAAGTCTGGCGTGAGCCGTGGATTTGGTCGAGGCCTGCCACCCAAACTGTGGTTCACATACTTGTTTGACAATGATTCCTCCAACGTCATGGCCGAGAATGATGAACGGGCAATTCTGAAGCATCGAAACCAGAGTCAATAGCGCTCTCGATCGCTCTTTCCGACATAGACTTTGCCGTGCCAGACACTTACACCAGGAAGCGTCCTCTCTGCGACTTGGTTCAGCAACTTGTGGGCTATCTGGGCAATCTCGGTCGCTGCGATCCCATCACATTGGAGAGTATAGCCAAAAGTCATAATGCGTGCATCGGGGAGGTAAGTGGGCAGAAAACCCTTCAGCCATTTGAGCATTCCCTTCACCATCAGTGTACGTCCATGAGTCTTCACGATGGCCTCCTAGACCGTGAACTGCGATAATATTGAACGCCCGTGGCGGAACATCCGCATCTCGATCTCTGTCGGAGACATCCTTTAACACGAGCAACCCCTCCGAGTCATCATATGACATTGTGGCCCTGGCGAGGTTCGCCTCGCCGACTGAATCGAGCGATGGTGAGGTATGAAGAGGACTGCACATAGATGCAGAGGAAAACAGTAGCAGACATGAAGCTTCGGTAGGGGACAGAAGACAAGAGCTTGCATGTGCTGTCCACAGAATCAGAATGGCATGTGTTGGTTTCGCACCCATGGCCGAATGAAGGGTAACATGTCCTCTGCACGAATGTGCCGCCTCATGGAAGCGACCGGTTTTCAGCTCTGTGGCATTGCATGTGAATGGGGCCAGTGATTGTCAATAGCGACAAATTGTAGCCCAACTCGAAGTCTGAAGCCCGGGGACTCCCCTGCCCTTCTGCAGTAGCGGGATGGCTACGTGGCAAGCTGCAAACATCCAAAAGGGCGAATTCGCCCCTGAACAGCTTTGTGAAGAGCACAGAAGCACGACGGCGACGATTGACGAAGATGGCATCGGCACAGAAAATGGTTCCTCTCGGCGACGAGGACTTGGTGTTGGATCTCGAAGATGAGGAAACTGCTGCACTGAGAGGCGATCTGGCGCCAGTAGTTGGGACAATTCAAAAGTCAGGGTATCAAGTCAGAATCCGTCGACAACACGAAGTCAATGGCCTTTTCGAACCTCATCTTTCGCAAGAGGCCACCCTTCTGGTGTTGAAGTTCCAACTCAAAGCCGACGATCCGAATGACCGCATCACATTCTTCTCAGTGTCGCTGATATTTGATTCAGCGCCCGATGCAGATGATGACGATGATCCCCCCTATCTCGTTTCTTTCGCTCCTGCCCAAGAAGGGGCTATATCACTTGAAGAGCATCAGACGACGGTGACTAGGACACATGAATTCAAGGTTACAGGCTCTGGGCAAGCTCCACTCAATGTTGCATCTCTGAATCTCGAAGGATCGAGGTCCACGCAGCGAGAATATACGCAGCAAGACAAGTACGTGCTCCAGACACAGACGTCGCGAGACCCTATGACTCTCAGCGAGGAAAACGTCGTGTGCTGGGAAATGAACGCCGCCAGCACCCCCGAAGGTGTTGGAGATAGCATTACAGTTGCGGTCTTGCTTCGACGAGCCCGCTCATCCAGGTTCTCTATCAGCTTAGAAGCCCATGCGCACGTCGGGAGCATAGCAAACGCGGTAGAAAAAGTCAAAGACCTCCTCGACGTCCGTAAGAAAAAGAAATATAAGACGCTGGGACGGTTTGGTCCAGCGAAGGGGGCCAAACAGGTGCCAGGTGGGCAGACAGTTCCAGAAGGTATCGATCCCAGCAATTTGTACAGTTGCTCGACTTGTTCCCGATATGCCGCCTTAAGGGGGCCAAAGACGCCGACATCGAGCGGCTGGAGTTTGTGAGAAGTATGAGAAGGTAAACGACAAAGAATGATATTGTTACAAAAGCAAAACTCGAGGAGCTCGACGGATTCATGGGTGGCAAAGCCATCGTTGATTAAGAGACGGGGTTTACCACACGCTCGCGCGCGGGTTTGCGGGTCAAACACGTCCTTTATCCAGGATAGGCTAATATGCTTATCGGTATATCCTTTCGGGGAACACGCAAAATGCCAATCAGGCGTGGGATAGGTGGTCCAGACACTACGGTGTGTCGACGCGGGCCAGATGATAAGGGGCGGAAGGGATATACCTGTTGCGGAGACGCATTCTATAGCAGTGATAAGGACTCGTTTTACGCCGGTGCCTCGGTGGCGTCGCGTGTCCTTGCTATGCACTAACATTTTGACAGTCGCGGCGTGACCGAGGAGCACGCCTGTCTCGTCCATATTGTAAACGTTCTCGGGAATGATGTTGGGGTTAGCCAGCTCTTTGCCAATCAGGTCGAACCAGTGTTTGACCTTGTCATATATATTCTCGTTAGCTCTCGTCCAGTTAATGGCTTTGAGCCTTCGGGCCCGCAGTTCTGGATGACGAGAGTAGAGTGCCTAGGGATAGTTCTTGCCGGGAGGTTGCACTGGGCCTTCGTTAGCCTTCGTCGAGCATGCAGAGCCGCGATGCCGCCTAATGACAAGTGCCAATCTCCGCAAGGCTTTGACCGGCAGGGAAAGCCATTGTCCGCACATCGTAAAATATACTCGACCAACGCCTTCTCTTCTTGTGGTGTGAGGTACTGCTGACCGATGGCCTTCTTCCGTCTTGCTAATGTTTCACTCGAACCGCTCGGCAGCGTGGAGGTGGGAAGGTCGCTCGATAAGGGCAGATTGAGGGTTGTTTTTGAGGATGACCGATCGTCGCTGATAGTGCTCGCTGAAGTCATTGGTGGCGATCGGCAAGGGCTTCACAATAGCTCAAGGTTTAATGCAACGCCGCCAGCAGACAGGAAACAGTAGAGGCCACGTTAGTATGCTGAGCCTTTCCGGAACGGAATAACGTTATGCCTTGGCTGCGCCCTCCATTCTCTCTCTGCGTGACCTGCACAAGCCCAGCCTAGACCGTTAGACCTACAAGGCTGATGATGGAGGTATTGAGGCACAACTCTCCAAATCAAACGCACTGTCTCGTGTCCTGTTGATTCCTGTAACAACATTACGCCTCGACACCAGCGAGCAGACCTCCAGGAGGACGTCATGGGCGATCCACTATCCGTTGCCGCTAGCGTGGCTGGCTTACTATCCCTCGGCTTACAGAGTACAGAGTACCTTTACAAGTATTACGCCGCGTGCCGAGATCAACATCGAGATCTCGCCAAAATCGCAGACCAACTCGGCGGCCTTCTCGAATCCCTCCATATCATCGATCAGATTGTACGTACCCGCAAATGGCGGCCCACCGAACTGTCAATCATACAAAGCATTGAAAGATCCATCACTCGCAGTGAGAACGCGATAAACGTGTTACAGGCCGAGGTTGACAAATTCAAAAACGTGCCTGCTGACGATTGGAGAAAGAAGGCGGTGGTGGTCGGGCGACGGGCGGCGTATCCATTTAAAAGAAGCACTTTAGAAGACCTCGGCGACGACGTGAACGATTTCCGCGACAACTTGTCGATCGCGCTACAGGCGCTTCAGCTGAAAGAGCATCAAAACACACAGGGCGATATCGAGGAAGTCAACGCGATCATTAAGGACATACAGGCACGAAGCGTCAGTGCTGATCTACGGCAGTGGCTGAGGGTACCCGATGCAACAGTCAACTTCAATGTCGCAGTTGCTAAGCGACACCCCAGCACTGGGCAGTGGTTGGTCCATGGTCCAGCTTATACCGCATGGCTGCAGCAGGGCAACTCATTTCTCTGGCTGTATGGGTTTGCCGGTTGTGGAAAGTCCGTGCTGTGCTCAACGGCGATCCAGCACACCTTTCGCCGCCGACGATCATCTGCCGACATTGCGGTCGCCTTTTTCTTCTTCGACTTCAGAGACGAGTCGAAACAAGATGCATCCGCGGCGCTCCGAGCATTGCTTCTCCAGCTCTGTGGGCAGGTTCCCGGTCTGGAAACCGACTTGAACCGCCTGAAGGACTCACACAATCATGGCACTCCACCAGTACATGTCCTACTTGAATATCTGCGACAAGCCGTTGCCCGGTGCCGGCACACCTACATTTTGCTCGATGCATTGGACGAGAGCCCGAAAGACATCCCGCGAGCCGAAGTCCTATCGGTGATCGACACTATGCGACAATGGCAGCTGCCAGGCTTGCACTTGTTGGTCACCAGTCGAGATGTTCCTGATATTCGAACTAATCTGCAGTTTCCGACAGTCAAGCAGGGTGTCGAGCATATCTCGTTAAGAAATGACAGCATTCAGCAAGATATATCTCGGTTTGTGACGTTTCAAGTCGACCACGACCGGCAGCTTCAGCGCTTGAGTGATTATCGGGAGAAGATCAAGAGCCATCTGATCCAGCATACTGATGGAGTGTCAGTACCTTGCTCCATATCCTCTAATTGCCTATAATTGGAGCTAACTAATGTCTAGATTTCGTTTAGTCGAATGCCAACTTCGTAGGCTACGACAGTGTCCCCAGAGTGGAAAGATGGTCGAGAAATATCTTCGCACTCTGCCAGCAACACTTGATGAGATATACGAACGAATGCTGTGCAGCATAGAAAACCCAGAAGAGGCGCAACAAATCTTATCGCTCCTATGTTATGCATCGCGGCCCCTGTCAGTTGACGAGGTCAATGAGGCTCTCGCCGTCGACATTGATGACCTCGAATGCTATGACCCCGAGAGGAGATTTACTGGCGGTCCAGACGATGTCCTTCTAATCTGTCCTGGTCTTGTTGCTATCAATCTCCGGAATGATGGTGTTCAAGAAGTCCGGATTGAACATTTCTCGGTCCAAGAGTACCTGCTATCAGATCGCATTCGAAGTGGCCGAGCGGCCGACTTCGCTCTATTAGGGCCATTGCAGCACGGGCGGATCAGTAAAACTTGTTTACTCTATCTGCAACATGATGAATTCCTCTATCAGACCTTAACCCCCGATCTACTCAAACAGTATGCCTTTGCGAGATATGCTGCAGAGTTCTGGCATCACCATTATCGCCAAGCTGACGGCCAGTTCGCCCAACAATTAACGGGAATGGTTAGCACTTTGTTGACAACGCGTCCCATGAAAAAACGTTGGGTTCGGTTACACCAGCCAGATCGACCTTGGGATACCCAAGTGAATCACGACAGATTCGTCGCAGATCCTCCTTCGGCAATATACTATGCTTCGTTTCTTGGCCTAGATGAAGTGCTGGGGTTTATACTGTCTATATCACCAGCAGACGTCAATACACAAGGAGGCGACTATGGCAACGCACTACAGGCAGCAGCAGCGAGTGGCCACGAGAAGGT